CATGTAGTTGGGCGGCAATGTTTAATCTAGTTGAGGCCAGTAATCTCTGGATGTTGATGTGCAGTGTCATGTGCTGCCTTTTAGCATTTCCACATGGGCGATCTGTTACTTTGCAGCATTAGAATCTGCATTTGATTTCTTACTCTCTTATCTGACTCCTCAGGGATTCGGTAAACCCAGCAGTAATTTACAACTGCCATTCTCTTTGGGCTTTGACACATACGCAGTCAAGGATTAAAATCAGGCTTCTAAAGCAGTTACCACTTGCAGCCATCTGCCCTGCCCTTCTGACAGAGATTGCCAGTGCCACCACAGTGAGTCTGAAAACCCAGTGAAGCAACTCCTGAACATCTCAAGCCTGTTTATTAAGGTACATAGATCCACTTTGAATTTAATGCTTAGCTGAGAACAGCAGTAGTACAGAAGCTGATTCATAAATCATGCAGCAATCTTTGTCAGAGGTCAGGCAACAACTTGGGCAGCACCCATCTGAGCCATCTGATTTTATTCTGCTGCTTCATCTGAATGAACCCTTGGACTTCAATGTTTGCAAGTTAGTAAATGACAATCCTTCCAAAGGCAATTGTTCAGAACAACAGGGCTACTTCAGATGCTTTGCAGACTGTTATTTTACTGAGTGCTTTACAGACTCTCAGTTTTCCTTGGTTACAATTTTTTTGTAGCTTTTTTGAAATTTTCTCAGCCACAAATGAAGCAGAAATGAGGGTTTGCTCCACATCCTCCTTTGAACCCCAATACGAAGTGTGTTGAGTCACTGTCTCCACAATAGAAAATCTCTCTCTTTCAGACACTTGTGTGCAATTATATAGCAAACTCAGAAGTACTATACAGCAAATTATGTAGGCTGTTATTTACATGTTTTTATTATACAGAGTGAACAATCAAAGTAGTTGATTTTAAATGATAAACTTTTATTCTGAATATACTGTTTTTGCACAAGAATTAACACAACAGTTCTAGGATTATAAACTTTTTATAACATTATTGTACAAATTTTTACAAAAAATTATTTTTCCAGGCTTGTCAAGTTCCACAAAAGTGTCAAGAGAACACAAGAAAAGGGAGAAAGACCTGCTTGCCTTGTAAGAGCAATCAAGCCTTTTTTTGCAGAAACACACACTGAGCATTTCAATAAAAATATCCCAGAAAGCATGATCCAGACATTCCATACAACACAAGGAGAGAAGACAGCTTTGTCAGATCACAATCGCAATTTCATGGCATCTGAACAAGACAGTATCCCTTTAGCCTCAGTGAAATTATTTCTTCAAGATGATGTTTTTCTTTTAAACCATAAACAGGACAGATGCAGTAGCTGGGAAGAGGGTGAGGCTAACTTTTCAAAACTCTTGAATTTTTTTCAGACACTTTGTTTTAATCTTTTTACAGTAGTGTACAATGTGTATTAACAATATTAACATTGTGGTATGAAAAAAAAAAATATCTGGCCTTTGTTAAAGGCTTGGATGTCTGATGAAGCTAGGGTAAAATTTATCCTAAGGAAGGAGTTATTAAGATTTCACCTTCACTTGACGTTCCAAAAACACCCGAGTGCGTTGCAGTGCCTTGTAGGCATTAATAAACTTCTTAATAACCAGTGTACTAGCATCTCAATTTTTAGGACCAGTGGAACTGAGGTTGTGTTTTGAAATTAAGACATACTAAGCACATTTTCTGAGCTTCAGTGTTAATGGGAACAAAAGGTCTTAATGTCTCTTCAGTGATACCAAAAACTACAGCAAGTAACACTTGGGTTGCAAAGGTCACTTAAAAGGGATACTGCCTATTTGAACCCAGTAAGGCCAGTTTTGAAGTTAGTAAAAGGAATATTATAGGAAAACTTACAAATGGCAGCAACACTTTTTTTTGTCAAGTTAAGCAGTAAAGCCTCAAGCATTAGAAACATGAAAAAGATCATACTAAAGTCTTAAAGGTACAGGACCTAAAAATCTTGTCAATCAAACCTGCTATGTCATGTTAAAAACCTGTTACAAATATGGACCACGGTCAGTGTTTTGGCAGTAATGCTGGTTGTTTAAATAAAAAGCTAGAAAGAAACCTTTCATGTTAAGTCCTCAGATCATGTTTTGCACAGTATCATGCTATAACAACTTTAATGGTGGTTATTTGTCAGACATACAAGAGGCTGCATGATTTCTGTGTAAACTGAAACAGTCCCAATGGTTCCTTTAGTGTTATTTAAAGAATTTGAGCAAATATCAAAGGAGCTTTTTATCTGGCTTAAAAAAAAAAAAAAAAAAAAACAACAACCAAACTTTTTACAACATACTGTAATTTGAAAATGTCTCAATGTAAAGCCTAGGATCAAGTTTCTTCTCTCACAGACAAGAGAAGATGATTATTATGCATTATGTGAGAGTAAGGATACTCTTCTGCATGAGAATATGTATTTATTCATGTAATTTATTTCTAACAAACTGGTATTCACATTTTGAGATAGCTGAAGTTCACATTGCATTTTCTATCTGTGTTTTGTAATTTGCAGGTATCTAGGTAGTGCATTTTAAAAAATCTTGACCACCACTTGGATATATAATCAAAATATATATTGCTTTCTGCAAAAAGAAGCCAAAATTTCATTTTTTCCTTTTAAAGTATTGAGTTCTACGGGGACAGTACTAAGCCCTTCTGGGAGGGCCAGATCCTGAGTTTTCCATCAGATGGATATAATGACTGGAAGGCCATATAGAGGGGCAGAGGAGAGGAACAAAGGACATTTGCCTCTTTGGATAACCCAAGAAGGCTAATGTGTCTTCACAACATGGGCTTCTCCCTCCTTTGGTATTTGAGTACTCTCAGGGAAGTGGGATGAGAGCAGAAGCCACGGTTGTTTTCTGTGGCAGCATGGCTTTGTGCCATCTTTCCTTCTGCCTACAAACTCTAATGAAATGTTTATTAAGTAACGCAAAATATGACCTACCAGAGTAAGCAAATTGTTCCAAAATGTTAAATAATGTAACTTTTCCATGAAGGGTTTCTTTTGGGAAGCTAAGTGAAAAGTATAGAGAACTTAATATATTGACAATCTTTCAAGAAATTAAAAGAGCAAAATGCAAACTAACATGTATTTTAAGTAATTTCAGAGTAAAAGCTATGAGTGTAGTAAGTATTGGCCTAATCCTACAAAACTTGTTCCTCCCATAAAATTTCAGTTGCCCATGTTAAGGAAAAATACAGGATGCAGTCTCAGCATTAGAAAGACTCAAACCAATCTTTTGTCAGGTGGTAACTGGTGATAGGGTGAAGAGAAGTGCAGTAATATGACTGGAAGGAAAAGCTCCAAGATTATTTTCACCTATATTATCAAAGTTAGCTCACCTTCCCTAAGGAGGACCTTGAAGTCATCCAACTCAGTTAACTGTACTTTTAACCCTATGACATTACCAGAGATATCTTTTTAAAAAGCTAAATCTGATCACTGAACAAAAGGTCAGGTTTTACTTTTTTCACTCACCGTACTCCCAAACATGAGAAAATACATAGCTGGAGACAAGGTACATGAGAAAAACAATGAACCAGCCATGGGTACAACTACAGTAGACATCTGATCTTTTAAGCCATGCCATGGCTTTGAGTAGCTTCTTCAGTTTTCATAGGATATTAATGCATGCCCAATTATTTCTTTAAGCTTTTGGCATGATCAAAATTATATCAATCGTCAGCATATACATACCAATGCTTTGCATTTTCTTATTTTTTTAAAGAGCTAGTGTATTGTGCCATGTTAATATTTGCATATTGCAGTTGTTAGCAGAATTGTACAATACCAGCAGAGTTGCACATTCATTGGTTTAGCTGTCTTGCAATACTGTTTAGTTCTGAAAACTAGAAAAAAAGCGCAAATCATATTTTGCATCAACACTATGCTACACTGTAATATTGTAATTTACCGCACCAATCTGTATCACCAATGAAGTTGTATAAAAACAACTTCTAAAATTATTATTCACAATCAAGTATCAATGTGCATACATATAAATTCAAGGCTCCCCATTTGTTTAGATTTTTTCTAATCTCAGCAACCAGGACATTTTGCTGTTAAATATGCTATTTTCAATAATAAATAGCAACAGCAGAATTTTTAATATTATAGGTGTTTTTATATGAAGGAAACAAAGGGGGAACCTGATATGAATCCTAGAGAACATATATTTCCAAAAATAAATGTGTTAAATCTGATTTTTATATACTTAAAATACCTGTACACAGGTTTCCATGTGAGATCACTATTCTGTAAAAAATCCAACTCAACCCTTTTGTTATGATAGCTAAATTTACCCTATTTTCTCAGCTTTTTCATTGCACAGTATATTCAGAGCTCTGTTTCATAAGATAATTTAATATGATTTGATTGCAACACATTGCAATGTTCAGTTTCTCACACAATAAAAGAATCACTCAGTTACCTTTTCAATGGACTATACTCTACCATCAAAGAAAACAAACTGAAAAACAATAACATAACATCATCATCATGCAAAATACCCTTGGAAACCAACGTTCAAATATCACAAAGACATTTTTTATTCACAAGCGTTTTTGTTTGAGCCTTTGAAGGATTTTACTAGCTTTATATATAACTGCATTGTGAAAAGGAGGTGAATATTACATTGAAATTAACATTTTTCTGACAGAAGATGACACCAAGTTTAAGATGAGAATCACTTTTTAGTTAAACTCTCAAGCACCTTTATATTTTTAAAAAACAGAAGTTTCCTTCCTTCCTTCATTTAAACTAACAACTTATCAACCTACCAAAATTTCGCTGGCTACATGATTCATTTTGGAAGAATAAACCACTCATCATAAAGCATTTCAATCATGCTGAACTTCTGATGAAGATTAGCCAATATTTTCATTTTACCCAATTAGTTTGGACAAAGCTGATGTTCAAAGCAGCCATCATGGTGCTAGTAATGTATATTGGGGAGTACGTTTTCTTTTTTCTTTTTTTTTTTTTTTAAATAACTGTTCATGTAAAAGAATATAAATCTTCAAGATATCCAAAGCTTAAAAGAAATGAAAATCATATACATAAGCTATTATCAGGGGAGCCCTTTTACATGAAGTCAAGATTACAACAACAAACAAATAAATAATAAAAAAAAAAATCTTAGATTCCCCAATGGAGCACATACAGAATTCTGTTTGGATGGCATAGATGATGCAGCATTCACACACGTTTAAGGATCTGACACTCCAACATGCAGCCACTGTGGGTGCCTTTATGAGTCTCACAATGAGTGATAACCAGACACGAGCACTGCTGTTCTGCTGCTGTCTGAATAGCTGACCCTTTTTAAAATGAAACTGAGGCTATCGTTTTGGCCAGGTCTTGATTAAGTTATGCAGGTTTTGGTTTAGCAAGGTCATAACTGGCAGTGTCTGCTGCCAGATAACAGCCAAAGCAGAACCAACTGAATTCCTACCATAGACCACAGTGATGGACTCAGACCAGAGACACCACCGCAGTCGGCCGAATCTTCCTGTTGACAAGAAAAGAAGAAATCACTTAACATTAATTACAATTAAATTTCCTGAGAAGTAATCTACATTTTAGTCTTCAAAATTTTGAACTATCCTTGAGGAATCCTTTTCGGTTTTATATACGTTATTTTGCCTAAAATAACAGCAAAATAATTCCTGGAAGTTTTCTGAATTTTGATACAAAGAGTAGCATGGCTACATTAACTATAAGCATGGGAGGATTAAAAATACTTACAAGGCTTACTGCAGTCACTTATGAACTAGATGGGATACTTACACAATCAAACAAGAAATGCTATGGGATATACCTGGGGACCCCAGTAAACCACATCTATATTCCTTAAAATGACATCAGTTTGGAGATTTTGGGTATCACTTTAATGCAAGGAAAGATGGAAGAACAGAAAACTTTTCAAGATTAGAAAACAAATACCAGACTATGTTCACGTCCATCTCATCGACATGATCACACATTAAAACGAATATGCTCTGCAGGTGAAGATATCATCAAAGAGAATGAAAATCCTTTCTCTGTCTCTGATGCTATATTCAAGTACAAGAACCAAATTTTCTATTGGCTTTTTGTACACTTCTGATGCAGTCTGTAGAGAAGACACCTTCCAGTTTGAGGGCTCGCTCTGAGCTGCACCACTCTGTCACGCGTCAGTGGACCTAACAATTCATTATGCCACACAGCAATCACACCTCTTTTCCCCATTTCTCTTTACCATTAATTGCTGTTATTTGGTCCCACTTTGCCTGTAATGCATAATATCTTTCAAATTATGGACTTATTCATTACTCTGGCTGAAATATATTTGATACCTGTTCTGGAGTCTGTAACATCTTTACACCTTCTTGTTTCTCAGGACTTATACAATCTATGTTTATCTGCCTAAAACACCAGGGCAATGTCCCAGCCATCCCCTTCATTGCTCTGTCCACCGAGTATGAGATTCATGGGTAGCTCCGAAGGCTGAAAATATTTGGTCTTCCTCTTGTTTTCACTGTATTCTGTACCCATAGTATAAAAAGACACTTTCCGTTTTCAAAGAGATCCCAAGCCTCCAAGGACAAGACAACAGTGTAGGTGGGAAGGGACTTAAGTGTATTAGGAACTGGGGAAACTTCTTGAACAGGAAGAACATGTGCAGGGAAGGACAGACTGCACCTTAACAGTAACAGAATCTGGCTGCTGACGCAGAAATTAAAAAGGTTTTAGAACAGAAAGCAGAGGAAAGCCAACGAGCATGGAACAGCTCCTGGTTCAGACTGACATGCCACTGCAGCATATGTAACTAATATTCAGTGTGCCTCAGAAAAGGCTGGGGGGGGTTGGGGATAAAAAGTACAATCAGGATAAATAAGGAAGGGTCATTAAACCACCATTAATTTATTGGCACATCCTTAAGCAAAACTTTCAAGTGCTTCTACACCAATGCTAGGAACATAAAATTAAGATGGGGGAGTGAAGACAAGTCATCAATGAACCATCCCAAAATAATACACATATCTCCTGGTGGAAGGAGAATAATCAGTAGGACAGAGCATTGTCAGGCTACCAACTTTGTAAGAATGGCAATGTAGGACATACAGCAGAAGGGTAGTATGTAAAGGATAATACAAAATGTAATAGCATGAAAGTATTACAAGAAAAGAAAAGTGTGATGGAATCTCCACAGGTAAGAAATTTCAGAATCTAATTATAAAAATGTAATACTAGGATTGAACTGCTGACCACCTGATCAAAGTGACAATATCAGTCATGAAATGTTGTGTGAGATTAGAGAAGCCATGTATAGACTGGATCGATGTCTTATCAAAAAGTGATGTAGAGATCGTATTTTGGGATATGATAAATGACTGCCTTTTGGAACAAACAGTCTTTGAATCATTAGTGGTGCACAGGGCCCTCTTCAAAATTATTAGTAGAGAGCTGCTCTGTATAGCTCCAGTATAGCTCTAGTAGCTTTGTAGACAATAATGCAATAGGATTTAGCATTGTTGTGTGAGAGATCAGGCCAAACAAATCCAAAACAAAAGATACCAATTTCAAGAAAGGGAACTATGTGAAAATTACCAAAAGCAGTTAAAAAACCCCAAACAACCCCAAAACCAAGAAAAGGAAAAAAAACCCTTAACAAACAAACAAACAAAAAGCAGAAAGCAGGAAAAAACTAGAAGCATCTCAAAAAGCAAGTCCCTCAAAAGGATCCAGAAGAATATTTAGAAATATTGCATTAGATATCCAGGTAAAATGAATGCCGCAATTAGAACAACAAACCACCCACCCCACCACCACCCCCCTCCCCCAAAAACCGCACCCCAAAACAAATGAAAAAACACCAAACCCCCCTCACCCAAAAAACCACCCAAAACCAAACCCAAAACCCCAAAGAAACACCCCTGCATGAATCAGTAGGGAAATTAAGTACACTGTCATAGGGAAAAGGTCAGTATTTAAGAAATGAAGTTTACTCAAATGGGCAAGAACAGGAAAACACATAAAAATGGCAGATTAGATATAAACAGGAAATTAGGAAGGCTGGTAAAGAATTTTTGGTGACCTCCCTGCAAAATATGCTGAAAATGATAGTAGAAAGTTTTGAATGAATCAAAAGCACAAAGCCAAAGACAGAGTTAGGGCAACTGCTTGATAACAGAGGTGTAAAGAGGGAACTTGGGGATTACAGGGCATAGCAAAGGACTTCAATGAGTTCTTTGTGTCAGTTTTAAGGGGTGGAGACTTTAATGACATTCCCACCACACACAATGCATTCTTTAATGCAGAGAGGTCAGAGGAATCAGAATCAGTTTGGAATAAATACACGGAAAATCAGACAAAGCAGACAAATTAGACTCAATACGTCATCATGAATTATAGCATTCACCAACAGTCTCCTCTAGAAACTTGGATGTAAAAAAAAAAAAAAAAAATCAAAAACCAGCATTCAGTTCTTCAAAAAAAAAAGAAGAAAAAAAAAATAATTCTGTCCTAAAGCAAACAGCTCATGTTAGCTGCCATTCTTTATCGATAGTAGCCATTTCCAGACATATCATCTGTTAGCTTTATAATTTAGTTCTATAATTTTGGCTTAGGCTTTTTTTTCAGCTGATTGCACTCTACAAGTTCAAAATTCCTAAGGTTTCCGGTCAACAAGTAAGTTATAAGTGAACTCTGCTGCACCAGATTTGGAGTAGGATGCTAAGATTTGAAGATGCACTGAACTTTCTGGTTCATTTAGTTTGCCTCTGTCACTTTTTGTATCTGCATTGTGTCTTGTCATGTAGCTTTATTTCTATTCAAAGGACCTAAAAATAACCCTGTTGCTTCCTCCTCACAGTAAGTACCATCAGAAACAGAATTATCCGTAAAGGTTTCTTCTCACATTAATTCAATGAACAGTAAGTACTCAGTGTTACCTCTTGGTATTTAAGATTCTTATTACTGAAATTACTTAGAACAGTAATCTTTGAAGAAATAGTCTAAAATAAAGCATGAGGTTTAAAATTTTCCAACGGAGAGGAGATGTCTGGAGAGTAAGAAAGAAGTAAATTGAAGGTTTTAAACAAAATTGTGCAAAATAGGAAGGGAAAAATATCATTATAGTGAAAATGGCATACAGTATGGATACAGAGTAGATGACCTCCACATATAGAATTATACAGTACTCAGATAACATGTCACCTCTGCATTAGACCAAATATTGGGTAAATTATGTTGACGAATTAATCCTACCACTATATGTACTTGAAAAAAACACCATTCTGTTGCCCATTTCTATTTGTTTTTTCAGTTTTTTTTTTTTTAAACTACATCACAGTTTATGGGCACTGCTTTTACATTCAACAGTTATACTATGTAATATTCCTATTGGATTGAAAAGAAATATTTTAATATGTTTGGCTCTTTCTTTTTTTTTTTCCCTAAGACTACACAGAGCCATTTTTAAAGGATTCACAACTTCACAAAAGCGGAGAATGTCTTGGAAGCCTCATGCAGGAGAGACATCTTCTTATGAATGACAGAGTTAAACTGTACTAGACAAAAGTATACAAGGTTTACACACATATTTCATGGTTGGTGAGATTTAACCTAATATTGATCAAAGTCACATTGAATTTGTAGAACAATTTACAGTGGTAAACCAGCAGTTCTGCCAAGAACAATTTCTAAATATTCTCTCTGGAATCAGTTATTCTTTTGTGTCCTAAGCCAAGACAAAAAAAGTAGTGGCAAAAAAAGTACAGTAAATCCTATCTAAATTACTTTTTCCTCCCTAGCATTGCACATTGTAATTTTCTTGTGTGCTTTAACTGTTGTGAAAATTACAAGAAATGTTAAAAAAAAAGGAGGAGAAAGTCTGATTACATGCTGATTTACATAAATTCAAAAAATCAAGAGTTTTATGGAAATGAGTGGGATCCCATCATTAATTTGGAACCAGATTGAGCAAAATGTCAGTTCTGAATGGTCTTCAAAATGTCTTATTTGAAAACATTTCCCCTATTCCTGAGCTTTAAGAAAACTTCTCAACTGTTTCCTGTAAATGTTATTTTTGAGATTTCTTATAAAATTTCTTATAACAAATTACATAACATCATTTTATCTTATCTTTACCTTATCTTATCTTTACCTCTGCCAGTGCAATTAGACACTGACCTATTTTTAAGCAGTTTCACTGAAATTTTCCAGCCCATTACATTTGTCACTACTACATTAGTCACACAGAAAACCTGAATAACCAACAGATCAGCTGGGGAAGTCTTCTCTTTGTTGTCTTCAAAATAATATTCTGTATATTATTTCTCTTTGAAGAAAGAAAGAAATGGAAAAAAAATGTAAAGAATTCTCTTTAGCCAGTTTCATTTAATCAGAAGTGTATCAGAAATTTCTTGCATTGATAAGTCACATGTCAAATTTCCTTGCATACTTGAGGTAGAAAAGTGTCAAATCGAAATGTCATCTCCTTCAGGTCTTGCCTTACTATGATAACTGTAGAGAGGGTTATTTTACAACATCACATACTGTGAAAATTATTCAGCACTTGTAGAATAGAAATGAATGCTTTTATAAAACCATATATTGATTGTTAAGTATCAAACCCGCATATTCATTGCTATACATCAACATTTCCATGAAGGCAGTGCCAGTCCAAAATTTTAAAGACACGCATGGAAACATAAATACACATATATACACACATGTCTAAACATACTTGTTACTCCTTTACAAGTACACTATAACTATTTAATACACTAAAACTTTGTCTTGAAACCTTAATCATTTATCAGAACCCATTGTGCTACACTGACTATGAAAAGGATAAAACAACAATATCTACCAAAGAGCTTCTGATCTGGCCTTTGATATCAACTGGTTACCTCAAAGTTACACCTTTTATAAGCATATATTTTAAATGCTTCATATTGCATGGAGAACACCTTTGCTTTTACTCAAGAGTATTTCAAGTTCCAATGCATGGTCTTTCACAAATTTTGCGTTACCCTCCTTTACCTGGACTACCACACAAAGCTGCCAAAGCTGTACAGCTACCCACACATAGATCAGGGATACAGCCAATCCCATCAAGATGTATACAGTTGTCTGGGCTGCTAATCACCCTCAAAGCTCCCACTGACATCCCTGGGAGCCGATGGAAGTAAGACATTCCCAGAATGGGCTAAAACTTGTAGAGTTCTCTTTATTCTCAGCCATGGCAAACAAAAAGAGTGTGCATGTACAAAATAAGAGCAAGCTATTCAAGGGGGTGATAAAGACTATTTTGTTATCCTTGACCAAAAAAAAAAAGAAAACAGCTGCTGTTATTGAACCTGATCAGCTGGTTTGTATCTGTGTTGGCTTCAGTGATTTTAATAAAACGGCACAGATTAATGTCCAGTGAGAACCCATTTCCAAAATCACAAAGTTATTAAAAACAGGATGGATGAACAAAATACCTTTATAACTTTCTGCTGCCAAAAGTCTATCAGCTAAAATGATATTTCATGGGTTTCCCAGTGTTTCGGTTTGCCTTCTTGAGCAGAAAGGCCATATTGGACATAAAGAATTCAGCTCAAGGTGAGTCTTTGCTGCTTTATGTACATTGGACAGTAGCTTTTTAATTAAAATAAGGTTACTTGCAGAGCAAATTGCATGAGTAAGAACATAAGATGTTAATCTTCTAGATTTTAATGTGAAATACCACTGGCTTGGGGGAAGGGACTTTCACCCTTCCTTACAACCTTCAGCCATGGCTAAAATTTGAATCATTTAAATACGGAACAGGAAACTTCAAAATTGCTAAAATACAGCTGTTAAACAGAACTTTTTTTCACTGATGTTCAAGGGATATTAATTGAACCTTCCCCCAAGTATAAAGAGAATATAAAATATTGAGAAAATGAGTGCTCTAAATTGTTACAATTTTCAATATTTTACTACACTAACTCTGAAAAATTACCTCTAAGTTTCCATTTCTGTCTCTCGGTTGGCTTTCCTTTGATAGATATGTTAGTATCTCCCTCTAGTGGTTTTCTGAGTAATAATATTGATCAGAAACCCCTCTAGTGTAAAAGGTCATTAATTTTATTCTCTTTAGATCAGCAGTTCTCTTGCATACATGTCACTAGCACAGCACTGCACACTCTCACACCACTAAATGCAACACAGTCTAAACTGCCAAGGCTTTCGTTATGAACCCCAGAGTCTGCACTAGGTCAACATGCAGGACTTCATGTATCCATGTATTTCATTAAAAGAAAAAACCCACCTTCTGCTGTAAATAGGCAATGAATATGCTTAGGTTGCAAAAAATTAAAAAGTAAAAATATGATTTTACTGAATTCATAGTTTAACTGGATTAAAGCATGCTATTACCTTCCATCATTAACATTTGTGTTAATTTGAATGCAGTGAAAACTCCTCACTCTTCTCAATAGCAACACTTACTCTTACCGGGAGCACTCATCCTTGCTATCCGTAAGTACAGCTTTATTTTCACAGGTATTATAGTCTCTTCTTATTACTTTGTACCTTTGTTTGTCTCTGTGAAGAAAACTTTCTTCTTCTGTTTCATTTTAGCAGGGACATGGGAAAAATGTTTTGAAGGGAATGATACTGACTCAGTTGGTACATGTGCAATCTCAAAGAGCCGACCATATAAACCCAACAGGTTCCCGTGTCTTTGTATTTGCTGTGGGAGAGGCCCTTGTGTTCTGTAATTGTGATTTATAAGGCTCCAGACAGGGTTTTTTCATATTTAATTTCCCTTAATATTGCAATAGTAATTTGCTCCAGATTGTTGCTTTTGGGACTCGCTTCATTCTGTTTTCTTTTCTATGCTTAGTAAGTAAAAAAATCTGCTAATTTTTTAAGCCAAGAACAAAACAAAAAATTAGAGAAAGTAACTGACCATCCACACCACATGAAAACTTGCAGAAAAATGAAGATAGGAGCGGACGTCATGGCAGAGGCACGACTCGTTGTGCATATAGGCTGATCCTATTAATAACGGGCAAAGTAGCAAGTAGAGGAAAGGAAAGAAAACACAGAAAAAAAGACATACAAGATGAGATATCATGCAGATTGCTGGCAGTTAGCAGAGTTGATGTGAAAGCATCCACCCAAGAGCAAGAGATTCACAGCAAATTTTGCAAATAAACTTAACTAAAACAATCCGCTATTACAAAACACATGACTTACACACTGATTAGCACATCAAGCTAGTGAGCAAGAGCTGTACTTTCACACACAATCGTATCAGGAGGATTTGGAATATTTACAATGGCCAAATAGCTTTTTGATGGTTTTTCAACTTTGTTTAACCTTTGTTGGCCAGTAAGAAGACTTCCTTTTTAAAATAAAATTTAGTTACTAGAAAAGTGCATTGAATACCAACTGCCTGGACTTTTTTAACAGTACTGACATCTCAGTAATTGTGCCTCAGTAAAGAAAAGCAGGGAATATACTGGAACAAAACTTGGTTTACAGCAGTTATAGCCAACTAACTGCACTAGTTTTGGACAATCTTTCCTTTGTAGAAATGGGATGAGGCATTACAAACGCATTTTAAAAATACTTATTTTTATAATGACAGGTACTTCCCTGTTCAGTACTTTCTGTACTGAAATTTATTCTGAACAATTTGAATTCAACATATTCTCTTTCATACAGTATTTTGAAAAGTAAGACAGAGAGTATATTCAAAATAATTTATATATGTGGCACAGTTATAATTTTTCTCCTTCAAAACTGTAATGTATACAATACAGGGATTACTAAACAGCATAGTTTTGTTGATTTCAGTAAAGCAATGCACTTTTAGACCTGTTAAGAATGTGACCTAAGGTCAATACACATGTACAAGAATTTCTAAAAGGAACAACATCCTAAACAAAATATAATGTTTTTAATCATTTAACAACACCTTAAATAATATTTGGAAACACTAATATAAAAATACTGCTTCTAAGCCAGGATTATCATCTATTTGTGAAAGCCATAGAAGAACTGGATTTCACAGCACAGTAGAGAGACCATCAGTTTTATGCTCACTGATGTTTTTTTTCTTTAGTGGGAATCATGTGTGAAAGTGCAATGGTTATAGGAAAGGCAGATAAGAAAGCAGCTGTTAATTTTATGTTAATCATGGGATACTTGAAATAGAGTGGCTGTGGTCTACAGTGAACAGTATGTTTAGTGATAGAGAGGTTACCAGGCACCAAGGTACATTTAAACATAGTTTTCACTGCTCTTCTAAAACAGCTCGACAATTGTTTTCAAAGATAGTCCTAAAGTTTTACAAGTTCAATTTTACCTGTTTGGCTTCATCAAAACAGACATCAGGACCCTTTCTGTACCTAGGTTGTTTGACCATTTCACAAGGATTTGGCCCTTCATCTGTTTCTCTGGTTAAGGAGCATTACTGTTTTTCATGCATCATACATTAGCAGGATTAACATTCTGGTTTTAGTTTCATGGGAGAAGAGAAGTTTTATGTTAATTCAGATAGTACTGAAATAAACATCAATAGACACAGTTCCTTGTTTAAATTAAAGAAAACCAAACCAAACCAACTCTCCAGATAAATCAAAATCAAAGATCCCCCTCCTTTTTTTTTTTTTTTTTTACACTGCTTTAATCAAGAAAATAAACATCCTGCATGACTTTTTAGAACCAGTACTTCCAGGACCGTACAAAAAATAAAAATAAAAGCTAAGGTTTTTTAAGATTTTCTGCATTGCTTTTATTACAATTGCATAAATATTACAGAAAATATTTGACAAAGTAATAAACTTTCAATGGTGCTGATTGGTTATAGCATATGTTATCACTGAGTTATTCTGCTAAAATGAAGATACACAGTAAAAGCGAGGAAGCCTGTTTGGAAAAGTAATGCTATATACAGGCTGAAAATTGCAATGAAGGCCAATAAGAACTACTAGTTTTATTATGTGTACACCTATATTACCCCAAATATCATAGACAAGATCATCCCACTCTAGGCTTTGATAGTAAATGACAGAAAACCTAATCAGAACTCATTAGCATTTCAGTGATGAAGGGAGACAGAGAAAATGCTGTCCAAACTAACAGTAAAACAGGAGCATAGAAATGGGGACATGCTATTAATTAGCTAACTGTAAACGTTAGGTAATGCTTTAGCTTACATCTCTGAAATCTGTAATTGCTGATATTTAAGTGTAAATACTATACTTCTCACCTGCCACAGGCTAACAAAGGACACAAGTCATTGCGACATACTTGAAAGGCACGGATATGGTAAGCTGCAAAGCCGTCTTCTGTTGAAACCTGCTTATATTTCCATTCAGAATGTTAAGCTTTTTTTATTCCACTGTTGGTAGTACACACATTAAAGCTAAGCTAAAGTGTTTTAAAAAAATTGAGCACCAAAACTTCACTTTTCTTAGTAGCTCTAACTTATACTTGAAGCAATCCTATTCCTGCACTACTGTGGAGTACTACAGCAGCTTCATTGCAACGAGTGGAGATGCCCAATGGAAGAGAAGGCAAGAGGATGGGGAATTTTGTTCTACAGATCTACATCTGTCTTCATTCAGATGTTATCAAACTCACCTCCCCTTTCCTCTGCTGCGGCCCAGCTGAAAGGAAGTCAAAAAGTAGAAATATTCTAGAAGACCATGTGCACAAGCAAAGCTGTACCAGCCAGAAGGAAGCAGAGTCTAATAGTAACCATCTGAGTAACACCCAAAGGTCATTCTGTCTGCTTATGTGATGTTATGCTACATCTGCATTTCACAATGTACCTTAGTTATAGAAAAGAGAGAATAGCTTAGTACTGCATAGTTGGAACAAAAATAAAATAGTTCATTTAGTCAATATAAGCCCACCCAGCTGCTCTGGCTGCCATTTGAGGTCGTTTACTGCTTTCTAGAAGGTTTGGGCCCCACAGGGAAATGTAAGTCATGTGCCCATTTCCCATCAAACGTGCTTCATTTTCTATAGTGAGTGCTGTCTATAAATTCAGACAGTGGCAACAGTTAATCAAACTGTCATGGACTTGAGCCAATTAGAATATTAGGCTGTGTTTACATAGTTCTGTGATGACATGGATGTTGCTTCCACCTCAATGTAACTTCCTTTTCAGGCCAAGCGTGGATGGAATTCCAGTTTTATTAATGTGGCAATGAATGCATTTCTTGTGCCAAAGAAACACAGTCATCTCTACCAACATCTGCTTTTCTTTCAGAAATGGGAGAGGCTGTCTCAACTAACTTCCTGACATGGGCAAAGGTATTACTAACTGTTTTCCATATTCTGTTATAATAATCCAAATTATGATTTGATTTACCGTCTCTGGCATGCTATCCTCGAGCATATATAGCAGAGAAAAATTGTGGTGAATTTCTTCTGGCCTAGAATATGTGTATGTTGGGTTTATGTATTTCCATTACCATCCCCTACAGGTATCTACTGGAGTGAACAGGCTAAAGTCATGGAGATTGGCATGACGGTGCTTGTAAATTAGAACAACTTTTCACATGCTTTTAATTTTAATGCATGTGTTGCAAGGACTCTGCTTAGCATGTTTGCCACCTATGTCTCCAGCCAGGTCTGAAGAAATTCTATGCTAGCAGCTGGATAAACTCTAGCCTTTGATGATTAAAGCAGTTTCCACAAGAAGTAAGCAGTTCTCATTGGCACTGAGCACACACTAATGTGCCTCCATCACTTCACCTCAGTGTTTCAGGCATCAGTGCGGCTTCCCAACTTTTCATGACCAAACACTTTTATCTTGGTGTTGCCCTTTTTTGTTATTTCTCTAGACAGACATACCCTTGTCTTTTCTAAAGGCTGAACAAACCCAGGACTCGCAGGCTTCCCTTGCCTGTCCTGTGTTCCAGATGCCAACCACCTTGGTGGTCCTTCACTGGACTTCCTCCAGTACATCAGTGTGGTAATGGGGAGCCCCAAACTGTAGACAGCACTCCAGATATGGTCTCACCAGTGCTGAAGAGACGGGATGGATCAATTCTCCAGCCTGCTGACTACACCCTTGCTAACACAGACCAGGATGTGACTGGCCTTCTTTATTGCAAGGCACAGTACCAACTGATGTTCAACTTCTTGTCCATCATGATCCTCACATCCTTTTCTACAAAACTGTTTCTAGTCACTCTGCCCCCAGCTGTCCAGCTTCATGTCATTATTGTGTCCTAGATCCCAGACTTTGCGTCTGCTTTTGGGAAACTTCATTAAGTTCCTGTGAGCCCGTTTCTGTTTAGGTCCTCACAAATAACAGCTTTGCTCTCTACCTCAATGATTGCTGCCTCAGATGATTTGTGGATGGTATAGCTGCTTCAAGTACTCCAATGGCAACCGTGTTACTAATATGTACATAAACAGGCCATTTTTTTCAAATATATTCCAGTATATCATAGCCAAAAATCAATCCACACTACTAAATAACATGATTTTAAAGGATACCCGGCTTCTCCGCTTGCATCAGTGGCTTTGGGTCACAGGAGCGGCACAGCAGTTGGCTGTCACTAATAATGAATACTAGATTGGTGTTTGAAATCTTCTCTGCATGATAAAGTCTGGAAAAAAAGCCAACAAAACCCTATGTTTAAATGAAGCAAGGAAATCCGTATTTGAGAGGGACACACAGTATTTGAATAAAAGTAATCCAACTTCACAGATTCAGTCTGCCTGCTACTGTTTATCTTTTCCATTAACGAACAGCAAGAAACATTTATAACAAATTTTGTAATCATTTTGACATTTCCATGGTTCCCCCTTTCAACTAGACTTATTAGTGGAAAAATGGAAAAGAGCATAAAATGACTTTAATTGAGTTAATAGCTAGCTCTCTATTGCTAGAACAGTAGCCGTACTGAGAAATAAAATCAGTTCAGCATCAATTCTTCCCCTAACAACACTGACAAAACCCCCAACCACAAAAACAAACAAACAAACAAAACCCCAACACATAAACCTGTCTGTAAGAAGGATGAGAAAGAGCTTTAGGTTATGTATGCTGTGTATTGGATGTATATTTGTTTTATTTTTGTGTACATGTAATTCCACAAAAGGCCTTTAAGCTAATAGGGTCATTTTCAATTTATAAATAATTGAATACGCAGCATTATACCTTTAAGCTATAGATACTAGACTTCATGCCTTAGATAATAAAGGTAAGGATATTTCCGGATTTTTCAAGGATCATTTTCATGTACAATTTAAATTTACCGGAAAGGCAGACATCTTCAAAAAAGCAGAGAAAAAAATCTTAGTATCTCTTAGCCATTAATAAAATATATTCTACCTGTCAAAGAGCTGTAAATTCAGGACAATCTAACAGGTTAATTGCTTTTAGTGGATTCTAAATACATTTTCATACACATATAAAATAACAAGCAAGTCTTTTCATATAGGTGACTACCACTCTATATAAGCAGAGTTTTATTACTTAGGTGTAAATTGATCAGATTATTTCTGAAATTTCACAGGCAATGAGTTCATACCACTGATTGGGTACAATAAGAGGACAAAACACCTGTTAATTAAATAACTGATGTTGAGATTACATATCTGGTTGTTTTAACCAGCTTAAATTGTCCTTTCATACTCATTCCCACACTGTGGCACTATTTTTGCAATATTAACATAATAATTTCTGTAGTTTTTCAGTAAACTGAGCTAAAGAACTCTTCTGAAAACTCTCCAGATTAAAAAAAAACCACAACCAAAAACCAAACCAAAAAACCCTACAAAAAACAAACAAAAAAACCCAGCTTAATGAGTTCTCTGCACAACCAGGTACCACACAAACACATACTAGCAACATGGAGGAGGAAGTATGGAAGTGGGAAAAAATGTCTGCGTATTTTGTCTGTATTCACTATTCTCCAGTGTCCTCTGTCTTGCTTTCCTGGCTTGAAATATTGTCTTCAAGGAGTCTGAAATCTGACTGTTAATTTTAAATTCTAAGACATTTTCAGAAACTCCTAATGTATGCAAACTTTCAACCCAGCAGGCTTTTGTATGAAACACAGAACTAGGTCCAAGTTGCCATGTTTCTGAAGTATCCGTTTTTTTTAATATAACTTTAAACATCATCTTGAATAGGCCTGAAGAGTAATTCTTTTAATCACAAAACAAAACAGCATGGTTTGCTTAAGAAGACCCACAGCTCTTAAATCATGAGCACTATTGACTAGAAGGTAAATTTGAAGATAAATTGCATAATCTTCTTGACCATCAAAAATTCCAATACATAACCAGATTAAAGAAAATAATCTCCTTCTGAACATTGCAGAACACCTTTAAGTTCACACAATAAATTAAAAGAAAAAAAATTGTAGCAGAGAGAGAAATACAATTTTCATGGAGCATATACAGATTATAAAACAAAAATTTAACCAAAATATTTCTGTAATTCTTTAATTATTAAAATTAAAATTCATTCTAAAAAAATACAAAAAGAATGCCATTTATAATTTTACTGCCTATATACTTCTCTGTCTTACTTGTGTAAGTTTGGTGTAATTAATCCAAAATATTTTTTTTTGCTCTTATAATAGTGTCATTATCTTTTGTAAAATAAATGCATATCCAAAAGTTATTCTTTATATTGAAGAAATTTTACCTGGAGCAGTTTATACAGTCTACAATCCCACCAAAGGATTTATCATCATTTTCAAAGAAATACTGAGTTTGCTCAGTGATACAGCTTGTTTTAGGCAGGGCGGCACTGAAATCATCATCTTCCATATCAGCTGACAGAAAGAAGAAAATAAACAAACAAATAATGACATTTTTAAGTCACAGACGCAATGGGGAGATCCAAATATGGCCCCCAGCTTAGATTCTTACCTTCTACTTCATTCAAAGTTGACTCTTAAACATTCTCTTGACTTACCTGCTTCAAGAAAACGTGGAAAAGTCAAGCTCAAAAACAGCTGCTGTAAGATAGACCTGAACACAGAAAGACAATATATATTTGTTAAAGGCTCTTTGTCTTCTTTGTATTTTAATGGATCCTTAAAAACTACTCAAATAAGAGTTATTAACAACAAAATCATTGTGGCTTATTATGCTTTTGCCAGTTATTAAAGCTGTGTTTCTTTAAACCTTACAGTTTGACTCTGGTTTTCTTTTCACACTTTCTCCCAGGTCTTCTTTCACACTAATCTTTTATTCTACTGTTGAAATTTGCTATCATTTGTGCCCATAACTCACATAATGGAAATGTTATCATGCCATCCATGTCCTCCTTTTATACCTCTGCAGAAGGTGGAAGAGTCATGTTGGTGTTCTCTAACACTTAAACCAACGAGAACTCCTTTTGAACACTCTCAGGGAAAATGCTCCTGAATTAGATACTTTACACTGATTAAGGTTCATTAAATTGCTGAGAAGGAGAGAAACACTGGAATATTACAAGTATATTATAAAAATCATTACTGTAGCAGTTGACTTTTAAAATCATCTCTATTCCTGCTTTTGCAGTATGGAATATATTTTCCTCCTAGATGCTGTTGAAACAGGCTTAAAAAGCTCCATTTATTTCAAATTATTTTTCTTTACTCATGATCATATTTTTCCTATTTTATTTACTTGAAGCAAGTGCCTGCTTGCCACATACATGGCCCCCTTCTCCTCTGCCAACCTGCCAAAATAGGAATTGCAACAGTTACTTTCCTTGACTCCCTGCTTCTGCTTAAACTTTCCTAAATTGTAGTTTCCTATCGTCATGTTTTAGGTTTGCTTCCACCTACAAATACGACCTCATCTCTCCTCATGTCATTCTGTTCTAACGCCTGTTCTGCAGAGAGAAGGAACTGTATAACTTTATTCAACCTCCAAGATTTTTTTCCTTTTCTCCTTATCCAGTGTGATCCATGTGTACAGAAACTGAAGCTGCCTGTCACCTTTCCAGTGGAGGCATTGCCTGAAGGAGCTCTGGATTCACACCCACAGCTTTGTGCCTTGAATCATCAGATGGACAGCGCACCAACCGTCATGGATGAGAAGACACCCGATGCCATTCAATAGTGATGCAATATGCTGACAGAAAACGGTAATCCTTCGTAAGGACTTACCACAGAATTTACAGGGAACTGACTGAAAAAGGCAGCCCAGGAAAACTGTAAAATCTTGTGAGTTAAAAAAGCATGAAGGAATGATATGTACTCTCTTAACTAAATGCTGGTGTATCCCCTATAAATTTTGAAAATTATCACTCACACCTTTATCCCACACTGTTGCCTGAAACACTATAGTTTTCTTTAATAACCTGCTTTCTCTTTATTTCCCTGCATTTGTTTTTGCCAGGTGCCTCACTGAATCCATCTTTGGTCAGCCCTTTTGACTCTGCTTGCTTAATGGCCTTCTCTGCCTGCTTCTGACCTAGATTCCATTAAAAACATGTCCATAGAAAGTACTTTCATGTGGTGCTTTCAAGTTAAACATCACACACAATAAACCTCAGGTCTAAATTGAGTCCAGACCACTGAGTCTGATTTGAACACTGATAAACTAAAGTTTCTCTGTTTGAGAAGAGTTCAAGTTTCTCTTCTGGATTATTGCCCATCTCCAGTTTTTGAGGTTTGCTGTTGTCCAAGAAAACCGAGATTTTTGCTGTTGCTGTTAACAAAGTGTAACCAACAATAAAAAACAACATACAATCTTCATAGTGCTATCCGTGAGAAAATTACTATATGTTTGTTCAGCTGCTATATATTGGAACTCTTAGCTTCATAAAGTAGTTAATTTATTCCAGCTTGATAATTATTATAAAAAAATAAGCATCATGAAACTTTAGAAAAAGCAACAGTCTCCGAGGGTGAAATTCACACCAAAGTAAAAGTATCACATCGGTCCCAATTACTTATCCCAATGTGGTGCTGGAGGAAGTAGCTGATAGGGGTGTCTATCTACATGGCTCTGAAATAGGTAAAATTATTTCTGTGGCTATTATTAATAATGTACAAACCAAAGTCAAAAGAAAAGAAAGCTTGTAAATGGATCTTTAGTTTTAAAATGTATCCAGTATTCTGATTGTGAAAGATAAACCTAATTACTGGTGCAATCCTGCCTCTCTCAAGGTCAATCCCAAAGGTCCACAACAGTCCAAATATAACAACTTTTCCCCTCAGCTATAGAAAATTCTAGAACAGTGACTAGAGAATTATCCAAAATGCTTTTTATATATTTGCTTCCTTGAAATAGTTCAGTAGTGTTTTTCACATTCCATTTCAAAGAACCAACTAACAATTATCATGAGAACCTTTAACTGAACTGTGCCATCAGATAACATACTGGTTATCCTGCAGTCTGAAGCAAGACTTCTTTACATTTTGTAATAGAGAAGCTTCATGTGTTTTTGTAAAATGATTCACTGAAGAGCAAACGTTGATTTTCTTAAGACTTCTTACTAGAAAAAGGGAAAGATGATACTCTGAAATAGGGAACCAAGTGATCAGTAATTCCAGATGTAATAATGTCATGTGAACCTTCACACCTGTCAGTCAGACTTAGACCATTAATCCCAACTCTACTTCCTGAAGCTAATTTTGTAGAGTCAGAACACACAATCATAAAACCTGGCAAGAGTAGTTCAACTGTTGACACAACACTGAATTTTCCAAGGAGTTTGGAGACATAGCTAAGGATTTTCACCATGAGAAACTGCAGAAACAAAGGGTGCAGATCAATTTTATGGGCGGGGTGGGTGGGAGACTGAACAGTCTCAATCTACTGAATAATTCTAGTTCAGACATACAGATTTCCTACACACTTGTACTTACCAGGCAGCTGCCGAAGCCCACCATCCTAGATGCAAAATATCTGTTATCGTAGGCTGGGAAAAAAACAACAGATATTACGTTATTTGTATAAACACCTGCAGACTTTGAAGGGAATGTCAGTCACTGCACAAGGGACTACTGACCACATAAGCAGAACGAAGTCCAGCTCCTTGCTTTGGTTCTTCTTCGGGATCGCAGACTGATTGATAGTCATACGACTTGTTAAAGGCATACAAGGACATGTTAATCAGGTTTCGCATCAGGCCAGGATCGATTTCACCAAAGAATCTTCCAATCTGATGAGGGAGAATATATAGAGATAAGTTAAAGTATTTCCAAGTATTTTTCTTAGAAAAAAGTGAACAGTTCTGACTTTTTCCCCCCCACTATTTTTTCCTCTACACAACTCATGTTATGATTGCCATGCTTATGAATTTATTTCTTTGTTTGACTATTTTTCTCCCAAAAGCTTGGTTGGAGAACTCCAGTTAGACAGTATTTGTTAAATGCACTATCAAAGAGACCACCCTGCTTGGGGAAGAACAAAAGGAATATGAGAAAGAAGGTATGTGAATGCCGTACTACTTGCCCTCACCATCATAGGTCCATTGGCAACCTACCAGCCTAAGGGCAGAGTACAAAGAACGCAACTTGGTAGAAGTATGTAATCTTGAACCATAAATAAGACTGTGAGAAAGACTAACAAAATAACTGCAATTTCTGATACAGCAAAATTTTTGTGATTCGGAAATATTATACTTAGGGTAAGTTGAGAGTGAAATGCTACTTTTTTCTCTTAAAACTTCTTCCTATTTTTTTTCACATTCTGTCCTTAAAAATATACATACCTGTTGTGTATATTCATCCCGATTTGACATCAAAAGAAATCCACCATCGTCCAGGATAACACAGTCCACATGCTATTATAAGAAAGTAAAATATGTTTTGCAGGAAGAATTTGTCAAGAGAACACTCTGTAAGAAACTATTTTTTATTCAACACTTCAGAAGTATCTTCAAATCTATGTGACTCAGGCTAAATCACAACCCCATAGCCAAGGGCTAATATTAAGCTATAATAAGCAGCATTATCAGTATTACAAAAGTTTGTACAGATCAAAGGCTTATTTGTGGCTTAATTTCATAAAAGTTGTTTTGTAAATTCTTATTTGCTCAATACTTTGTTAGCTCTAAGAGTGCTATATCCTTATTAAATCTGATTATAATTGAATCTTCATAATAAGGGACTACAACTTCTCGTGTGCTTCAGCCATGCTTAAAGTCCTTTTCCATTTGCAGCTTTTAACGGTAAAAATCTTAAGGGCAGACTCTCAGCTTGCTAGTCATGATTATTTTCACTTGCCAAGGACTGTAGTGGGTTTCTTCCAGATGTCAGGTGCAGGGCTGGGAAGCCTGTGGGTTCCCTATGCTTTGCACTTTGTAAAAGATCCTTGCAGTCAGAGACTGGAGAGAGAGCAGTGAGGCCAAACAGATAACTTCCCAGAGTACCCTTTTTGCTGTAACTCTTACATTTAATGATCTTCACACTCCACAAAAGAACTCATGGAAGACCTAAGCAGAAAAAGCTTTTAAGCACATGGCAGAATCTGATACTGTGATAGCCCCTGAAGCTGTGCTCTCCTGAGTGCTAGCAGAGCTATGGGATCCCCAAATCCTGAATGGGCTGGGAACAGAGTAAAGAAGGATGACTAATGACTGTTGAAAGACACATCACGTACTCCGGTGCTTTTCAGTTTGCATTTATCCTTCTCTTTTTTTAATTATTATTCCCTTTGCTCAGGATTCGCCTCTTTGAAAGTTACCATTATCTTTTTCACTTTTTTTTTTTCCACATCATTCTATATAGCCCTTACTCTATTGTGGTTTTTTTTTTCTTCCCTCTCATTTTCATAACCCCATTGCAAACATTCTTGAACAACCACTTCACCTGACTTTTATACCCTCTTTCACCCCCTCCCCTCCTAATCTTCATCTCTTTCTTAAGACACAAATGACCAAGTCCTGTTTTCTGTAAAATTAACCCTCAAATAATAATGATAGAATAGTTGTCTTAGATAGATTTAGAGAGAATGAGTGAATTTTCATAATCTGCCAGATATTCATAAACTGAACATATTCTTACCATACTGTTTCTCTCACAGCCACAGATTTCACTGTTGCACTAAAAAAAACAGAAGTACAGTAGTCTTCACAAAAATGTTTCAAAAGAAACTGTATTTTGCAGTGATATTAATCAATCAAGACAAGAACAAGTTATTTGACTTTCAGTATCTGTACATTAACCAAAATTAATTTTGAGTGTGTGTCATTTATCACAAATATATCTGTGAACAACCTGTATTCAGTAACTATCAACAGCACAAGCTCTACTGGTCTCTGGTACCTCTCCCTTTTTGAGAATGCTCAATCTATTAGAGAGAAATAGTTTGGAGGACTTGTCAGGATGTCAGTGTTGTGGGTAGAAAGTAAAAGAGAAAGAACATGTGCATTTCCATGTGCTTGGGGTATGGAAAGAAAACCCAGAAAATATGCTGCTAAGTATCTTTTTTGACCATGAAAAGCTTCACCAGTCTCAAAGTATGGGAATCCCATGTGATAAAGGAAGCCCACCACCTTCAGTTAGCTTTTATGGCTTTGATTACTAACATGTTTTTCTCTTTTTTTTTTTTCAATATATGTATATATACACACATAACTCTCTCCTTGCATTATGTCCTGAGCAAAAAACTACCGGATAATGCTGCAGTCATTCATCTCAAATTAATTCTGAGATATTCCTCTTTCTTTCTCTTTTTCAGTTATGTATTTTTGCCCTTAACTGTTCTGACATTTAAGCAATGCATTTGCCTATCCATTGAACTACAGCTCTAATACCTACAACAGCCAGACACTGTTACTGAATCCCTTAATATACAAGCAACTAAGCAACATTGCCTCATCCAGTTGTTCCACGATTGTCTTCATTTTGTACCTCTCCTTTCCCAACGCACTATTAATTCCTTAGTTTTTCCTTCGATTTAGCCTTTCCTCCTTCCCATTTACACTTAGCATTAGATGTAAGGAATGAAAGGGTTAAGCACCTATTTCACGAAGTTCTGCTAAAATGCTGTGATATTGGTTGCAGTATAAATCCTTACTGTTCACTGCTTACCCACCCTACATATTAAATAAAAATAGAATCACTTTTTTTCCATTTTTTTTAAAACCAATTCTTTTGCAGATTTTATTCATTGCTACAGCATAATCTTAGTAGGGAGGCTACTGGCTGAAAGATGTCATTTTTCTTTGTCTTTATCCATCTTCTATAATTATGAAAGCAAGACACGTACAAAATACAGCCTGTTTCAACATAGATTTATTTTGTGCATTTGGATGATTTAAATACCACAACTACTTGGCAACTACGCATCAGTGTGACTCTGGCACAAAGAGCTATTAGACCTATTTGCATTTGAAGCTTTGAGAAATGCAAATAAAGTTCAAAAAAGACTTGGTCAATTGCTTACCAGGCTCTTGATTGTGGTTTTTGTGAAATTTTCCATCCAGCTAGTTGCATCAATTTTTATTCCAACAACTAACAAGAAATACATGAAAGTCTTTTTTAGTAAAATGAAAAAAAAAAAAAAGGTAACTGTAAAATCCTAAAAAAAAAAAAAGGAAAAAATTATAATAACATCTACATTATTAAACTGGAAAAGGAAAAAATATGAGTTTTGCTCAGTTGTCTGACCACCAACATCCTTCATGAGACTAATAAATTAAGCACTCTTACTCAAACACAGCCAGATCTTTGGCTTGATTTCCATTAGCAAGATTAAAACAGTCTCAGAGAAAAAAATGTTATATAAAGTGAAGTTCCTTTGAAATCTCAATTAAATTTCTAATTCACTGTTGAGCAACAACCAAATAACTAATGTATTTAGAGTTTTAGCACCACTCTATCTTACCTGCTGGTTTCAGAAGTTTCCCATTAATTGTTATTTCCACAGCCTTGCTTACCATAATACCTGTTTCATAGCTATTGGCACCACTTTCTGAGAGTACAGAAGGGGAAAAAAAAAAGGTTAGGGTGATATAAAAGTCTTTTCCTCTGAAAGGGAAATTAATGAATATTCAAATACCCAGAATGATTCAAAAAAGTCCTTATTCAAAAGCACTGAGCCAGTTGTACCATGCATTTATCACCTGTTATAGCTCAGATCACCAACATCTAGACGACTAAGAGGAATACTTTTGTTTACATTTCTTCATTCACTTTTTGTACATGGCTTCACTGCTTCATAAAGTTACTGTAGCCTTTTTTTTTTTCTGCAAACAGAGCCATGAATAGCTTTACACATGAGAGCAGCTCTGTTAAAACCAGGATCAGAGCCAAAGACTTTATCCTGCTGTCGTCTGTGTATTTTTCAATGCAGGGTATACTGACACCACTCACTAACCAACAATTACTTCTCTGACAGACTTCAGCCTGTTTTCAACACTGCTTCGTATGAAAAAGCAAGTTAAAAAGTACATTCCCTGGAGCTCTTTGAGGAACAACAAAGGCTTCAGGGAATTTAGTTAATTACCTTGTTAATATTTTATTGAGAAAAGATGCAATAAATAAGTATGAAATAACAGCAATAAAAGATCCCATATGTTTAAGAGAGGAGTATGTCATTTGCGGTAGCATCTGCTTTTAGATGAGCTTGGCAAGGTTAATGCTGCACGCATCAGTAACAAGCACTTACTATTGTGCATATATAGGTTTTAAATATCACAGTATTTCAGACAAACTGATTTTGGTGAATAACAGCAATTTGAAACAGAATTCAAAAGCAAAGTTTAAATGAAGCAGCGATGCAGTGGACAGAGTTGTGGACTCTGGACCCTTATACCTGCTCTCCAAGTTAGGTCTGCTGCTGAGGAAGTATACAGAACTTGGCTTAAATAAACCTTTTTTAGGTAGTGTTATTGCCCCCGAGTGCAATTTTCTTTCACTTCCTTTTCAAATAATTCTGCCAAAGCATCTTTGTAAAACAGTGTTACAGTACAATAAATGAACACCAGTACTCTGCATGTTTTCAGCTTTGTTAATTCTGAGCATACAAGGCCACCAGAGCCGATGACAAATTGTAATGTCCCTTGTTTAGTGCCCTCCTAGCTACCTTTTCCTTAGTAATGAGTGACGTCCCAAGATTTTTCTCCTCATGAAGTGTCCCACATGCATCCTTTGTCAGTGACCTCAACTGGTATGGGAAACTTCCACAAGTACACTTACATTGGACTAGCTGGCTCTGACATTTCAAAAAGTGATGACTTACTGTTGTAGTACGGAGCTGTGAAAATATAGTTGTCATTATCTAAACTCCTTTTATAGAAGCTGACTTCATAAGTTTCAGCATTTTCCAACCAATCTTCTCCTGCCCTAATCACAAAAACAGTAGTGATCAAAAAAAGATAGTTAGAGTCTCATTAAAGCTGTGCTGCAGGGTTTTTTTTTTGGTTTGGTTTGTTTTGGTTTTTTTTTAATATTTCTGTTGGAAATAATTAGGACTCATTCATATAGTCCTCAGACTTTGTCAGCTTTCACTGGTTAACTGCCAGGTGTAATTATTAAAAAACTTTGGGAAAAAAAAAAAGAAAATAGTATTCTTGGAACAACACGGATCTTGTCTCATCATTTTTAGATATATTGAGACAAACATAACTGCAACACTTCTTACAATAAAATATAAACAAACCTTTATAGCACATGTTATCTCTTGAGAAATCATCCCAAAAGATTTTATATCATTAATAACACCAAAACAGAAGAGCAACATATTGAGAGTAAAATTCATTGCCATTTTCCCATTTTGGGGAAACACAGAATATCCTAAGAAAGCAGATACATTTGCCATTTACCAGTATATCTGTACTCGTGCACTCACTATTCCCAGTCACTGATGGGAGTGTCTAGTTTATTATATGACCACTTTCACATTCCATTTTTGCCCTCTGGTAATGATACATTTTTCTCTCTTGAAGTCCCCGGACCATTTGGTCTGCTCTTATTAGTTTTAAAAAAAATCACCTACTGCTTTACAGTATTTGCAGCCTGCCAGCTGGCCAAACAAAAGAGTGTTTAGGAGTAATTTGGGATTAGCATGGCCCCACTACTACTACAAGGGCACTGCTTTTACTACTACTCTACACTGATTAGAAACTTGGATTATAAGGACCTGCTACGGAAATAATGTTACAGATCAGTTTCAAGCAGTGACACAGGTAAAATCAAAGAAAACCAAAACATTCTATTCATTTCATAGTTATCAGTACAGATTAGACTGTAGGAGAAGTTGTTTTTCATTCAATAAATGAACTATTTAACATTCCACCCTTTCAGGTTTCAAAATTATCATATTGTACTAATTTATAATAATTGTTACCTTTTTGGGAACACTCTAGTAATCCCACCATCCGTAACAACAAATTGTGCAACAACACCGTCACTGTAAATAAAAATAAGATTTAAAATGAAAACTGACTGAAATTCTCACAAGTTCCTATGCCATTTAAGTGTGTAACTGTGAATTAAATATCTATCCTGTGTAAACATTAACTGTATATCTGTATATACACACACATGTATATTATTATATTATCAAACTTTGAAATGCATCAAAAAAAATCACAGTCAATGAAAATAATACTTACAGAGACAGTTTACTCCAATAATTTTGTGCAAGTTCATTTGTAAATCCTGCATCCAGCAAAACTCTAATGACCATATCAGTATTACCTATCAAAAGAGTTAAGACACTCATCTGAAACTATGTGACATGGAGTTTCATTAAATGGCTAAAATGAAATTCTGAAATCTTCTGTTGAAGCTACAGCCACAAGAATTAGGCTATTTCTATCAGACATACTGTCTAACTTCAAATTACATCAAGTACCTACTGTTAAATAGATTACTCTGACACTGGTGATTTCATTGTATCCTAAAAAAACTACCTTTGTGTCATAGGAATAAGCAAGGTGATAAGGGTACAGGTCCCAGCTTTGCAAAGCCCCTATGCTAAATTTGGAAATTAACTTATTTTTAAAGCATGTTTTCATTCAAACACTTTTTATCTCAGGTGATGCAATGAAACAACACTTATTTCTTAGTTACACTTACTCTTACATGCTACAAAAACAGAGATAATCCAACTACAATATAAATATATGTAAATCAGTTAAGTCCCAGCCTCTCAAGTCCCAGCCTCTCAAGTCCCAGCCTTTCATTTGCCATCTGAAAATGGGTACAGGGAAATAAACTAATTTTGAATTAGTAGCTTAGATGGATATCTCATTTTTAAATATCTTTGAAAAGATGGTTTTAAGTCAGTGCTTCTCAAGCATCCTTTTCAGTACTGCTTTGCAAGAGAAAGTTCTAGGAATGATCAACAGAAGTAAGCACACACTTTAATACAGATTTTACCACTATGGAAAATAAAACAGGGCTAAATTAGAGCTGAATAATGTAAAGGGAAAATCTGGCTCTTGGTGTCATACAGTAAACCAGTGTTGGTAAATCAGTTGTTCCATGACTGGAACCTGCAGCTCTGAATTCTGCCAAACCCCAGTTGCTCAGCCTTCCTGAGGAGACTGAAAACTCCTTCTGGGAAAAAATAGAAATAAAAAGCACCAGCTTTTCTTCAGTTTTGCTCCACAGAGAGCCAGGACATGCTCTATGCTTCACCCTAAGTCTCAGATTCCAGAAAACTGATATTGACCTTTTTTTAAAAAAATACCCTAACTCAATGTTTTCACGAAACACATCAATAGGGACATGTATTTGGGTATTGAAAAGCTTCGTAAACTTTAGCAAAAAGGCTTTTTCATAAAATCTGCTGAAGCCTGAATGTGTGAGCATGCTATGCACACAGCCAGCAGCTCTGATTTACCAGCAGGAACTACCTTCTCATATCATCTTAATACATTAATTTAATTCTCATTAGATATATTTACATGGCTTAGCTAGGTAAACCTGTTAAAATGCATCAAATGCCACAGACTTACCTTTCCTATTCACATGCACAATGTCATACTATCATATGTAATATAAGTTAGGGTACTGTTTTAAAAATATTTCTTCAGCTGGAAGTAATGACAAAACCCCACTAATAAACTTAAGGACAAAATTAGGAGGCCCTTGTTGTATTCACGTTTTCCTAGAAATTAAATTGAAATTCTGCCTGAATATAAATATCAAAATATGTCTCCTAGAATGATATTTATCTCTGCTAATATAGACTTCTAATATTTTACTGAGTGCATCTTTTGTTTAGGATTCCCTTGTACTGCATGCATCTTCACAAAGTGAGACTTGCTTACTTACATAAAGTGGATGTCTAAGACAAGTAGGGTGAATTGCTCTTACTGTCCCCTTAGTAACAGCAGAGGTAGTTGTCTATCTTCCTGGCCAACTTCTAACTGGTTAAAGTTAGATGGGGTGAGTCAAAATATACAGGCATTAAACTTACAGTATATACATTATTTCAGTTTGGGGATTTTACTAGTTATTCCTTTTGAAAAGCATTTTTAGCTGAGGTAATGTCCATAGCCACTGTTTCATTTAGTCAACACTTTATTTATTCAGGAGACTATTTTAAGGTAACTAAATTATTAGAAAAAAGAAGGAAAAAGTGAATTTTGTTATGAATTCCGAAATGAAATATAGCAATAATTTAATAACATTTTGGCATAATTACTTACTAAGCCCTAGTGTATATTACAATATCACTAAATGTGTCCTCAATATTCACTTATATAACCATGGAATATTAAACTAGAATTTTGATTTATTTCATTTATTAATGGTTTAATCATTTGAGGTGAATGCTTTCATTTCCAAGATTGAGTCAAAGGACCCAAGTAAAACACCCACACATGCAAAAAAAAAAAGCTTTTTGTGAGAAGATCTCATATCTGAGTGCACATTCCTTTAGCTATGTAGTCTAAGAGAGAGATTCTTATTGAACTGATCAATGAACCCTGACAGCAACATGTTAAAAAGACTCACGGAATGCAAGACAAAAAAAAAGTTTATCCAACTGTTTATAAATTATTAATAATGCTAAACAGACTTGTATGCATAAACAAACCAATCCAAACATTGAATTTTTCATGAGAATAAGACTTTAATACATGACTAATGGTTCATTCAAAAGTGTAACTCCTCATTTATTCTAAGTAGAGTTTAAGGCCCAATTTAAATATGTGAGTGCCTTCCCAAAGCCCAGTGCTCACCACTGCAGCAGTTACATGAATCTGCAGTCTTAAACAACTCAAGCCCAAGTGAGATCTCTTTAACCAATTTGTGAACCAGCAATAGAACTTCCTTATCTTGTATCCTGGTTATTGGTTATTTTGGTTCTCGGCTCCTTTTCATTACTTATTTTGGTTATATAAGCTGACAAGAAAGCAGACTGAAGACTTCATTACAAGATTTTTAAGTCTATTTGAGACTTACTTTAGATGATACGCTCAAAAGAAAAAACCATAAATTCAAAATATTTGAGTGTATTAAAATGAACTGGTAGTTATTTGCTGCTAGAACAGAATGCTGAGAGGAAGCATGGAAAACACTGGGTGCATAATGCCCTGCAAACTTTCTTAAATAAACCCAGAAAACTGCAAACTAATTTTACAATCTCTACCTTGGGTAGAAAATCCCAACACTAGTTGTATTTCTACTAAAAAAAAAAAAAAACAACAGTGAAGGTAAAAACCGAAACCACATGATTTGGGCATGAAAGCTGTCATTTTGACTAATTCTCATTTATGAGTAAGTATTTTCCTAAGGAAAAATTTCAGTGAATTGAGAAGAATACTTACATGACGGACTGCTTGGAGTATTTCTGTCAATAAATTCATTGAAATTTAACAGAAATTCAGTGTTGTTTTCTGATTTTTTTACATCATTACAGTATTCTCTGAAAAACAACAAAACATCAGTCTTCTCAGATTTGTTTCCTTTGCTACTAAAGCAGACAAATATGGGTCAGCAGTTTTAAAGTCCAAGCAGGATTGTGCAACTACAATGAGGTGGCTGGCACTACCACATCAATTGACTACCATGGTCAATATTGAATGTTGACCATATTGAATATTTCAGGCATCTACAGGAAATAAAGTGTTCAAGTGCCTGCCTAAATCTGAATTATAAAAAAACTCCATGTATGAGATAGGGCATAGATTCCCAGAAAAAGCACTCAGGACTACTTCAGGCCATGAAATTAGGAGATGATAAGAGTCTGTAAACTAAACAGGAAAATGACCAGTGAATTTAGACTGCTTCTGGGTTAACCTGTAATGGAAAATACATGGACTGCTGTTTAAAACGTAGTCACTTCGTGCTCAACTAAGGCCGGATTTATGGGATAAGATCCTATCCTCTGAGAAGTCTTAAAGGCAATTTTAACAGCAGGCCATGAAATTAGGAGATGATAAGAGTCTGTAAACTAAACAGGAAAATGACCAGTGAATTTAGACTGCTTCTGGGTTAACCTGTAATGGAAAATACATGGACTGCTGTTTAAAACGTAGTCACTTCGTGCTCAACTAAGGCCGGATTTATGGGATAAGATCCTATCCTCTGAGAAGTCTTAAAGGCAATTTTAACAGGGTACACACCACATAATCATATATCTTTCTTTTGACATATGCAAAACAGATAAACAGTAAACTACTGTCCTTTACACAATGTAATAAAATAAAGCAATATATCATTGGACAATTCACTGAATACAAGCGAACACAATAAAAGTCACTGGGCATTTTGAAGGCAAATATTAGACAGTGAGTGGTATTAAACAACTTTTTAATTAAAATGTAGAGAGCATTCAGCAGTAAAGCAGGGAGCTCTCTTTTTAAATGAGCTTTCTATATTAAATTAATTTTATGAACAAAAGAAGTCTGTTCAAGTATTTCATATGAACAAGCTATCTTATTACCCTTTACTTACTTTACCATGATCGTGAAAGACTACAGGGAGAATTTGCCTTATATACCAACATTCACATTTAAACAGAGCTCCATATCAAGCAGCCTAACAACTATGGACTTGCTGGAAACTGCTAATTGGTACAATTAATTATCAGTAACTTCAGTCTTTCAGCAAAAATAAATTAACCAGTTAAGCTGAGAATACATTTGAAGATAGAAGACTGTTTTATATACAAATCTATCTAAAACAGTCTAAATTTAAAACAATACAGAAATGTATAAGATAAATAAGAAATGGAACAATTCTTAACTGATCTTGATGGTACAGCATTTCCTTTATTTATCATAACTATCTTTTAAATGAACTTAATTTTTAAGAACTATTTATCATACCATGTTTCCCTTGCAAACATATATTTACAAGGGCACCAAGGACTACACAATTTCACATGAAAAAACAGGGAACTAATGAACTTAATCAATTTTCAATGACTCAATCATTTTTTTGTTCAATGAATCAAAAATTTATTCATCCTTAAGTGATAGAGAGCTTTGAAACACTTTATCTTGGAGGTGGAAAACATCTCGAGGTAAGTATTATTGTACCTATTTTACAGATGAGAAGCTAAGGTACAAAGTTGTAAAATCTTAAAAGTCACAGCCACAAGAAATGAACAGGTGTGTATAAGATTTCCATTAAAAACATCAATAAACGATGACACATCAGATTTTAAATCTGATTAATATAAAAAGGAATAAGAGCCTGAAGATTCTATTAACACTCGAGCAAGAAGAAAAGATTGATCTTGTAAAACATGAATTTAATAAATGTTCTTTTACTTAATATTTTTTACCAAAACAAACTTTATTGGTCAAGTCTGTATTTCATAAATGTCATTAATCTGATCAAATGCCTATTTATTGCTGAAATAATACTTATTACTGGGAAATTAACCAACCTCGGTGCTATAAACGTATAGCCAGCTTCATCAAAATGATCAAGCTTCAGTGTTTCTGAATCTACAAAGATGAAGAGTAAACACCAAGTCAGTAAACTGGGCTTTTTGCCATCATTTTTCTTCTCAAAATATTTGACTAGCTTTTGCATGCATGCATGAATTTAGAAACAAATGTTTATTTTGAGACAGTTTCCTACTAATATACTGTGTACTTCTCAGTATTTCACAATATAGGAAGAAATTACTTGATTATTATATACAACATACACCTGGCAACAATAATGTATCTAAAAACCTATTTAGAGAAGACATTTCATTCGCATGACAACATGAAAACATATGAGATGTTTTCATTAGAATTACAATCTGATACAAAGAAATATTTGGGACATTGAGTTGTTAGATTGTGAAGGAAAATGCTTCTAGTATTTTCTGCAATAAAGTTTAAAAACTCATCCATATAAGCATCACTTTAAATGCTACTGAAAATAATGGCTTTAATAGCTGGTGTCACTGAACACTAATAGGACCAGACAAAGAAGGATTAGAGATTAGCAACATATTGAAATGTGCATGAAAACAGAAAAACAGTTCACATCTTTTTTTCCCTTTCTATTGCTATGGTACCCAATGATCATGGGAAAAATCCTGAGAAGAGGAATACAGAGGAGAATGCCCAGTAGGAATAGAAATACAAGTGAAAAATATCAACTGCAGTAAACAGAAGGAAATTGAGCAACAAGAATATACTTGCCCTTTTTGATTGCCACTATCCATCAGAAAGAGAAAGCAGGGAAACAGAAAAAAACAGGGTAAAGCAAAAGGGGTCACAAACCAATATTTTATTCAAACAGCCCCTTGAATAAAAATATTGTGCACAGATAGATCAAAGGTTCAATTTACATACAGCTGCAGTCTGGAAAAAAGACAAACATCTTTGAAGACTGAAGAATATGTCCTCAATTATTTCTCAAGTACCTTCTATATACTGTGTCTATTTCAAGGGTCTGTTTTGCAGGTTATATTGATATAAGTGCAGAACCAGATGATCTAATCCATTAAAAGGCCATATTCACTCACTAAAACTTTAATTTTAAACTACTTACTATTTGACAAAGTTACAAAATAAATCACTGATTATTAAAAACTTGCCATATTCTACTTCATATGCAGGAGGTGATGGTAGAGGACAGTGATTTAGCGCTAGTCAAGTTTTCTCTAAACTAGCAGTATCTATGCCTGTCAGAGAGATTCATAGTGCTTTTCTAACTTTCTATTTAACTGCATATTTGTTCAAGTTTATCATAACGCTTGGATAAAGTTGAAAGGATGTGATGGGTTCTATTTTGTCTACTATATAAATTTCAGTTAAACTACACCTAATAAACAAAAAGCTTTTGAATACTCACAAGTATCATTTCCAATTATCTCTCCAGAATCTGTAAATGGCTTGAAATTAGTCTAATCCAAAAATACATTACAAACATCCACTAAAACTATTTGTAAAGTGCAAAATAAAAACCTAGCTGTAAGCCAAACCAAACAGCACTTTCACATTAATCTGTTTCTACAGGCAGTAGAGGTAATTTGCTAAATATGATACTGTAACTACTGTAAAAATAACAAAAAATGCTTTACCACTATAGTCTATTTAATATTTAGCTAATAGAATGAAAAAAATAGTATCCAGACCCTAAAAATGACGGCAACAGAGGATACACAAAGCAATGATTCTATAGGCACAGAGCAAGGGGGAAGGGATTGTCAGTGGAACTGGGGTACCTGCACATATTCTATCTTCATAGAATATTTCTTGTACCTTGGATGTTACAATGGGTTAGAATCATTGCTGCAGATTTTGGGTACATCACGATAACATCAGTGATTTCCACAAAATTTATGAATTTTAAGCATTGCTTTTTTAAGTGAATCTGAGAGTTGACAATACCATGCAAAACCGGAGAACCTTCACAGTACTTACATCTGGCTTGAGTTATTGGTTCTTCTATTTTGGCTTTAATATAATAAAAGCTGTATGATGGTAATACCAATGCCAAACTGCAATAGAAATGAGACAAGTAAAGTGATTATGTTGTTTGCAGCACTTTTCCAGTTTCAGCTTCTATGTGTTTTGAAAGCAGTTAACAAGTTTGAAAGTTGGATCACCATGAGACGAGATAGTCATACGGTGACATACCAGCCTCACACTTTGTAATAGACACAAGTAGGTTCATGCTGGTCTTGAAGTTCCCTGTGTTCATTTTCATTCTTATTTATGCATTCAAGCACTTTTTAATAGATAAGCAAGGACTTTCCAAATAATTTCAAATAATAAAATACATGATTTCTTGTATCTTCCTCTAACACTTTTAGCATCCCAATGTAACACATGTCAAAATGATCATTGACTGTAAAAAATAGCATGTAGTACCGCACTGATTTGCACGCATCATATAATGACAGACTCTCCTTTTACTAGTAAAATGACTATCGGTATTCATTAGGAAATGTATCTGGCAATACTTGAATTCACATTATATTCAAGATGCAAAATATTTTCTTGAATCATGCAGTCACCACTAAAAACCTTTGAACATCCTTGTGTAATAACATTTTAAGATTTGCAAAGCATTTGCAATGTATTTTCTTTTAGATTATACTTATTTTTATTCAAAAAATATAGGGTTTCTTTTTGCAACTAAATTCAATATATGTGTAGAAGGGTTCCATTCTAAAAAGGTATGTAAAGGACAGGAGGTACAAGTAATCATTAAAGAGGTAACATCTCCTCCCACATCTCATCCTTAATATTTGCATTCGGATTTCATGACTGTAGAACTGCAAGGGTTTCTAATGGATAGCCACAGAAATTAACATTAAAAAAGTTGTACAATTGAGCCATAAATGAGATGACATTTAATGATACATTTGCCCTTTAAACAGAATGTAAGTGAGATTGCTGAATATTTAGTGATAGCTTTCTACCAATTCTCCTCTAGGGAAATGAGTAGCAGTTTACCTGTCATTAACAGTTACTGCTAGCAGAAATTGCTAATTAAAATCTATAATTTTATGTTTAATAGGTTTGCTGCAATGTGACTCCATGGATTTATTGCTGTATCTCATGCCAGGGAGCTCAGTAAGAATTAAGAAGTCATATAAATCAAATGTATTTCTTTACTGATTGCTAGATGGCATAGTCTGATAAAAAACTTTCTTTTCTTACAGAGTATAAAAATAAAGGCAGTTCAACAGAAAAATGGGATGCTGAATAAAAGATAAAATCCTACATTTGCATTCTCTTGTTAAAACTGATTCGTTTGGCTTTACACATAAATTAACGTTTGCATTCTCTTTGGCTGTGCACCTATGCAGAACACAACAAAAAATGGGAACCAGCTTGGCTGAGGACTACTGTAATTCACAATAAAAATACTGTTTTGGTAAAAATTTGACTCAATATTTGTACCATCTAGTTTTGAACTAGGGTAGTTTAACTTTTCTGGGACTTTGTAAACCTTAACTTGTTTTGGATAATGTCAAGTTTTTACATTCCTTCTAATGTTAGAGCTGTGTGCTTAAACGAGTTTGAAATATACACACCAACGTTGCATTCAAGGGGGGATGTGCTTTTACCCGTTACTTCATTTGCTCCTGCTGCCATTCACCATATGATTTTTATATACAAAGCAGTATCAGTGCTAATTAGTTAAAACTTGTCACAAATAGATATGGATTTCAGAGATAATCGGTAGCATGGTTCCTGCCCCTAAGATCTGACATGAAGGTTAGCAAAGTCATGATATAAGCAAAGACTGTGGCTGAAAGATTTGCACAAAACATGTCACACTTTTTATTTAGACCAAAATATAGGATCTGCCTTTTTAATATGCATATTAAAACAATAATGTGGAGACAATGGAAAGAAAAGATGAAATAAGAGGAGGAATCTAAGAGAAAGTGTACAATTAAGTACCAAAGTATGGTGTAATACAGAAAGTAGGAGGAAAAGTAAGATTCTTAACATCAATTATATTTTTCCTGCATACTAAAATCCCTAATGATAAATCTGAAGAGTTGGATGAAAGACTGAGGTTCTGGTCCTTAGACAGAGCAATCGTTCTGAGCTGTAAAGGAACCCAGCAAATCCTACAGGCCTGGACACATGAGGATCTGGTGCTGATTTAGCTAGTATAGAAAATGTAATGCTAAAATATTAACCAAAATAAACAAAAAGGACATTTAACTAACAAAAGAAGTCAGAGAACAGAAATGAGTTACCTGTAATCAGTGCCATTCACAGCAGTCCATGTATATGTTCTGTTTCCTTTATCAATATATCTCTACAAAGAGATATCGGTGAAAAAAAAAAATATTAAATCTGAAGCTTCAATAGGTGTGCACTTTTCTTGAGAAATACAGTGTAAAATCAAGTGCAAATCTGCTGGAATTCTATTTATTATTTTGCTGAAAGCATGAATTGAGCTGCAACTCCTTTTCTTAAACATTTTCCAAACTTATATTATGCAAAATATCACCTATATCCTTTTTATTGAACATTAACGAAATGCAAATTTAACTAAAACCAGAAAAACATGACCTATCATTTTCCCTTTTAAATTCATTAGCCAGGCCTATGCAAACCTTTTTCTATGTGATTTAAATTTGATAAAAGATGTTATCTCCTTTATGGACCATTTTGCAGTTAAACTATGAAAACAAAAACCCTAAATTATAAAAAGACTTTGTAGGTAACTCTTTAACAACAAAAACACACAATGCCTGTCCTTTCAGGCCACAGTACCACTGGCTAGATGCATTTAAATTTAAGTCATATCTACAGTCACAGCCAGGTAGTCCTGCTTGTAAGGCACCCCATGCTAAACTTACATGTGTTTCTAATCTCATTAGGAGGCTTTTGAATTTGTGAAAAATTTAACATGGAAATAAATGTTTATTTTTAAATAACTTAATACATTAGGATAAGCTTTACCATTCATTTTCTTTTGGTATGAAAAATGATGTGACAGACACAGTCTCACAGTTCCCCATAGATTTAATCATTAATGCACCTGGCTGACATCATTTTACACAATTTTCCACTTTGAAAACTACAAGTTTATGCCATCTGCAACATATTATTATTTTACAATCAGACATTTGTAACTATGCCAGCAATGAAGTCTGTGCAGCTGTTGCACTGCAACATTACAAACATCAGTGAAAGGTACCACAGGTACACATCTACATTCTTTCTTTCCCTGTGGTAAAACAAAAGTGTGAAAATGACTGCGGTTATGAAAAAGAGGTGTCTTTTTTGGCATTTATGATTTGAAACCTTCTCATTACCTGCCTGCTGCTTTTCAGCACAGCATGGCAGTGTAAATAATTTATTAGTCATTTTGGAAAGAAAAAGAAAAAAAAAAGAAAAAAAGAAAAAAAAAGGAAAATAGAAAAAAAAAAGAAAGATGCATCAGCTTCTAATGCCCCAATATATTTTATATTTCAGATAAAAAGATGGCTGAAGAGATTCCTATCCAAACCTATTTACATTTAATAATGTGCCTGTACTATTACTTCAGCTCAAGAATAAGCAGACACTTGAACCTAGCAATGGCAGCCCCTCCAAATCAGGCACAGTGTCATGGGTTGCACACCATGTACGTTGGCAAGAGAAAAGTAGTGCCCAAGGTGGGAGGGAAGGAAGAGAAGAACTGGGCTCATAGTAAATCCTGTTGCCACCAGCACTGTGAACATGCTTGAAAGCAAACTGGCTGAAATCTCCCTTCACAGATAATCCAGGAGATCACAAGTCCTCATACGTCTGCTCCCATTTACCTTTGCCTACTTCATTACCGAGTGGTCTGAGACTATCTCACCCCCAGCTGGTCACTGCCAAAGAACCTACAGATGTTATTGCAGTTTTTGTGACCCTTCAGTTTTCACTGCTGCCCACCCTGGCTGCCCAAATGTGGCAATGCTTTTGTTCCTATGGCATCTTCTCTGTTAGTTGGAAAGCCCCTGAGGCCTTGGGAGACTCCAGTGCACCCCACCCACGCTTGCTACGAGTTCAGTCTCTATGCTGTAGTATGAGGTCATCTCCCAAGACACTGCTGGGGCCAGCTGCAATACAAAAGGAAAGCAATGCAAACTTAAACCAAAAAGCAAAACAAAAAGGACATCAATTTTAAGCCTCAAGACTGCAACTGTCAGTTCAGAGCAACTGACCACATCAGCCCTTTTTATAAGAAAATATATGAAGCTATCAAGTCCTAAGTGATACATGGCTCATGCATGGCCCGTGGTCTGAAGCAGCTTTATTCTGGCTCTAGCAGCCTGGAGCTGGGAGGGTGCAATGGCTTGAAGCAGTCACCATTGCCAGCCATCTCTGGCTGTGCCCTTCTTCTCTCAGAGAGGTCCAAGCAGAGGAAGAAATCTTGGGCCATGATGCAAGTGAAGGTGAGGGAAATTAATTTCATTGGGCACTTGAAGCATCTGATATCAAAAGGCTTGGGATATTCTACTCAGATACAGATTGTGGTCTGGCCGTGCAAAACTGGCACATTCTCAGGCACTCAGGGATGTCACATTCCCCTCTCCACCCCCCGCCTCGATGCTCTATCTGACTCCAGCATTTGCAAGAATCCCCTCCCTCCCTCTTTGGGCAAATATTTGCAGGACTAATTGTTCCAGGTCTTTTTTACCACACAGCCTGAGAAATGCATGCACAACCTGAGATCTCTTCGACAAGTTTGCCATGAATGCAATTTCTTGTATAACCCCAATGGTGTTATTGCATTTTTGTAACCTTCTAATCCTCCCGTTTCTAACCACCTACACAGCGCCCTTTTCACCCATAGGCTTGGAAAGGCATTCCTTAAACAAAACAACACCACAAATCTGAAAATGACCCAGTGAATCCGTCCCTTCAGGAGCAGCTTATCCCCAACGTAGATGCCAGCAGGACTTCGGACTCTCCAACAGTGGGTCAGGAATGACCCAGTGTCTCTTCAGAACAGGGGGACACAGGCTGGTGGCTTCCTAGACAGTATGGGCTCTTGGCCCAGGTGAGGTAGCAGAACTGACATCAGGTGGGGCTTACCCTCCCTGCCCCAGGAAGGCCTTATTCATTCTCCGTCCTCCAACAGTGGAACTACTCAGGAAAAGGCATATTCTTTTCATACAGCAGGATTTCCCCATAGATTGTAAAGCAGTATTGTAAAGCCTTGCTCAGGAGGGCTGGGGTGGGGGCTTTATCGTGAGAAATCACAGAAGAGAGTCCTGGCAGAAGGCAAGGGGACTGCTGGTACAGGTCTCCGCTTTAGAAGAACGTGGGAAGAGGTGAAAGGCAGTATGAAGTCAGATACAGAGAACAAGCGTAGGCACATTTAATGAGATCATGGGACTCCACAAGTTCAAGGACCATAACTTACGGGCACGCTTTGCACCTGGGCAATGTAAGTGTATAAGGCTGGAGTTAAGTTGACTTCCCTCATAGAGACTAAAGTGGCAAAGTGTGACTGCTGCCTACATGATTACATGATCATCATTATCATCATCTTTTAGCTAAAATCATCTACATTTACATTTGTCTGCCCCCACTGAAGCTGAGGTTCTGTACCCAAGAAGAGAGTCTATGAGGTTCTGCACTTTCTGAATAGGGTGTCAGAAGGATACCAGAGTTAAATTCCCTAGACCCTGCAATATAACAAAATACTATGACAACCTTTCTGCAACAAAGTCACAATCTTGTTAGCAGCGAGTTGAATGAATATACAGGTTTTAATCTGTCTCCTCACAGGTGAACATACATGCAAGTAAAGCCACCAATCTCCTTAATGACACCCATAGCTCAGAAATAAAAAATGCCTCTGATGGATTTGTACAGTTGTGAAGATCTTGAGCATGCCTTCCTGTCCTTATTTGTACTCCTTTTAAATTACATTATCAGAAGCAGCATGCTTTGTCAAAGCCAGTGCAGATACTAAGAGGCTGAGGAATGGTCATGAGATGTCCAGCTCTAGAGTCCTCAGTACAGGGAAGACATGGACCTGTTGGAGCGGGTCCAGAGGAGGGCCACAAAAATGATCAGGAGGGTGGAACACTTCTCCTATGAGGAAAAGCTGGGAGACTTGGGTTTGTTCAGCCTGGAGAAGAGAAGGCTCCGGGGAGACCTTATTGCGTCCTTTCAATACTCAAAGGGGGCTTATAAGAAAGATGGGGACAAACTTTTTAGCAGGGCCTGTTGCGACAGGACAAGAGGGAACGGTTTTAAACTAAAAGAGGGTATATTCAGACTAGATATAAGGAAGAAATTTTTTACAATGATGGTGGTGAAACACTGGAACAGGTTTGTGCAGAGACGTGGTAGATGCCCCATCCCTGGAAACATTCAAGGCCCTGAGCAACCTGATCTAGTTGAAGACATCCCTGCCCACGGCAGGGGGGTTGGACTAGATGACCTTTAAAGGTCCCTTCCAACCCAACAGGGAAGACATGGACCTGTTGGAGCGGGTCCAGAGGAGGGCCACAAAAATGATCAGGAGGGTGGAACACTTCTCCTATGAGGAAAAGCTGGGAGACTTGGGTTTGTTCAGCCTGGAGAAGAGAAGGCTCCGGGGAGACCTTATTGCGTCCTTTCAATACTCAAAGGGGGCTTATAAGAAAGATGGGGACAAACTTTTTAGCAGGGCCTGTTGCGACAGGACAAGAGGGAACGGTTTTAAACTAAAAGAGGGTATATTCAGACTAGATATAAGGAAGAAATTTTTTACAATGATGGTGGTGAAACACTGGAACAGGTTTGTGCAGAGACGTGGTAGATGCCCCATCCCTGGAAACATTCAAGGCCCTGAGCAACCTGATCTAGTTGAAGACATCCCTGCCCACGGCAGGGGGGTTGGACTAGATGATCTTTAAAGGTCCCTTCCAACCCAAACTATTCTATGATTCTATGATTCTAAGTATATTCCCAAAGCTCTGTTGCAGAACCAAGTGACCATGAACTTGACATCGTGAAATCACAGTATGGATGAACGATCGAGACATGTTTCAGAAAATTCAGCTCCATTTTCAGTCTCATCTAGCAAAGATAACGTGCATTGCCACTCATTTTCACCAATGAAGACAAGTAAGTTTCTACCATGTTTAATGCAAAAATAGACTAGGACTATGAAATATTTTTTTCTGTATCAAAATGAAAATAAGTACACAAGAATCTTCCCTCAATGCAGAATTGAGTCAGAGGACTGGTGATAGGAACTGCTCAGTATTGGGTGTCACTTGGTGTAATTAGGCCAAAATTTAAAGCAGAGTTTAAAAGCTGCTACCATCTATTAGACATTGAATGTAATATAAGGAATGTGCTGTTTTTAACAGAATAAAAAACTCCTAAACTCTGAGGCTTGATTTCCTATCAATTTAACTTGATTAGATTCTGTAGCATATGCCTTGTGAGAAGGAGGAACTTGTCACTGGAACATTCTGCCATTTAAGTATGAACAGCAGAGCCATCGGATGTAGCAAAGTTACAGAAGATCAACAGGAGAGGGCAGCTAATACTACACATGAAAAATTACCTGCACACTCCCAAGCAATTCTGCTGAGAATTGTTATGGTGTGCTCATATATATGAGTGTTGTGTAGTGTCTGTTTGATGTTATATTTGCTTCATGTTCTTCTGCTAAGTCATTAAGTTAGCTATCTTCAAGCTGGTTTACATTCAGAGTAAAAAAGTTTCAAAAAGCTGTTGTAGAACTGTAACTGTGGGGCATACTCTGTCCAGAACTGCTCCTTTGGCACACCAGTCACGATTTCTTCTCTTCTCGCCAAGAAGTAAAGCATACATGTAAGGATCCATATCAAATTTGAGTATTTCCTCATATCTGTCTTATTAGAGAAACCACTAATCTTTATCAGGAATGAGCATTTTGGACAAGAAAATAAAGAACTCAACAAGCTGTCAGAAAGCACAAGTACATAATATAACTGTAAGATTAATTTGCTTATACCAAATAGTCTCCATTTACGGCATATAAATGTTATATTTTTTCCTCACTACTTTCTTGCCATTCAGCCACAACATAAACTACCAAACACATCCTCACACATCTCTGCAAGCAAATTAAGTACTTTGTTTTGGGATTCATACACAGAAGTAGGCTGGTTCCATTTCCTGGTGAACAGAGTGTAAGACCTCATCAACAACTGCCTGATTAATGATGCACCAAAGAAACCAAGAAACAAAACAATTCTTCTTTTCATAAGTACATAATTTCTTTTACTATAAGCCACTAAAACTAGCAAATCTAGAGGGAAAAATGATACAATCTGACATTATAAAATGAACATCTTTTCACCATTTCACAGTATTTTTCTGGTTTTGTTTGTTCCTGTAAATGTAATTGTCTGTGTTCCTGTCTTACCTCATCTTGGGACTTGACCAGTGTTTCAAATGTTTTTTCTCCACTTTCTCCATCTATCATTTTTTTCCGAATCTATTGGCAAGAAAGAAAAAGAAAAAAAAAAAAAAAAAGAGAACTAGGTGTTTCATGTAACATGAATAATCTTTTCAGTGATTCAAAGTATTTCATACAAACACAGAAAATGGTAATGCATATGACAGTCATAGATCTTAAAAAAAAAAGTGAAGTTTACAATTTTCAGATTTTTCTGATTAGAAGTTGCTTTATCCAAATATATACTCCATCAGTAGAGTTATGAAGCAACAATTCTTTATACTTTGCATAGCAAGACCATCCCATAAAACCCCTTTGATGTTGGGCACTAGAGAGAGTATGAATTCTTTCTGGATGAGGAGTTTTGTCTAGCATTTCTTGGGCTTCCCAGCACATCTGTGTGATACACAAAAACAATTTTATAACAGTCCAAGAGTAATTCCTCTCTGAAGAAGGAGTTTCAAAGAAACTTAAGGCAGAATTTAACAGATACTGATAGTGTCATTATGAAAGAACAATTTCAAACAAAGTTAAAAAATGTTAGAAAATGTAAAATGTTTAAAAAACCTCCATTTTATTTCACAAAACTAACGAAGTATTTTTAAAAATTCTGATTTCTGAATGTATTACAAAACTAGTAACTGAAAAATATACAGAGGATTTAATTTATTGTCAACACTCAACTTCATTTCTCAGTTCTCTCTCTCACCACTGCAATAAGCTTGCATCAGTAAGAGATACGAAAATACTTTTAAAATGTTTCAGGTAATATATTAAAAGTGTTCTGTTCTGAAAAATTTACAAGCCCCCTCCCCAGGAATTGCCAGTTAATGAAGAAGAATTATTAAATAGCAATCACGGTGTCTTTCAAAATGAGAGGAATATAATGTGTTGCCCTTGCCTATGAATAATACCAGTTCTCAATTTGTTTCATTATAGCTTCATCTGTCTATAAAGTCATCATCTTGACAAATTTAAAGTTGAAATTTATAATGAAATAGATTCCCATTCAAAATCTAGAACATTTATTGCTTTTCAGTTATTATACAGTGAGATACAAGCAGCAACAGATACTAAGAAACCAAGTAATCTCACCTCAACTTTAATATCATTTTCCAATTCAGCATCTAGAAAATCCAGCGTAACGGGCTCCTGGGATTTAGGATTCTGAAGCAGAAGATATTGAATGATCAAATAATAAAGACAAAGTACTGTGATGGTACAAATCATTCTAACCCTTTTATTTCTAAGTTACTTACTTAACTGGGCTTACTTACCCATCTATTTTAATTTCTTACAGCATGATGAATTACTAGTGGCCCTTTCTCATTTATTTTATTTCATTGGATAGAGAAGTTAATTGGACAAGTGAAAATCAAATTAACAGTAACGGTTAGCGTCCATCCACAGTCTGTCGTGTATGGGGCTCACGCTGGGAAGCTGCTTCCCCTACTGCTGGTATGTCACAAACTGTAAGGGTGGGAGAAGTCGCTTCAGAGGAAGCATCAGATATGAATCTCTCATTAGGTGTCCTGCCTCCGAGAAGGGAGAGGGAAATTTGGGAGACTTTTCTAGCTGACTGGTAAGATGGGATAATTGTACTCTTTTGCAATTTTGCCAAAAGCAGACTACAGACTTGCTGTTATGAGGTGGGAATGGACTGTGGCTCCAGATTCAAAGAGGCGGCAATTATAATAAAGTATTTCTTTATTATAAGAAAATAAAAATCACTTTTATTGTTAGCATTACAGGACTTCCGTGAGCACCTTGCAGTTTTGAATGCATTTCTCTTGACGTCAGTACTGTTACCTCAATCTAAGAGTTAGAAACCTGTAGCACAGAAATACTGCAACCCAGCAGCTTCAAGACCTAAGGAATGTACGTGATGTCAACCCTTGACTATGGAGCACAGAAAAGTTTGGTGGTATGCATCTGTAGCAACCCTGGTCCCATCGGAGTCTGGGAAGACCATTGTAGCTCTGCTCAACTAGCTCAGACCACCCTCTAGCCTCTATTCCCTTCTCAGTTGCAGTCTGCTTTTACTTGGACAGAGCCATCTTCTATACGAGTTGTTAGGAATCCAATACTTTTATTTTGAGTAATTTTGACTAAGGCCCATTGACTTTATATTATGCGTGTTGTAAAAATCCTCAATCCTCATTACTCAGTAGTTATTTAATGCACCCACTTAACAAAGGATCTTTAGAAAAAAGGGTATGGGGCTATGTTATTTAACCATTAAAATCTGATAGTTTAGAACAGAAGATGAAAAAAGTCCAGTTTTAGTAATTTATTTTGATTGACAATAATTTGCTTTGTGTAATAGGACAGTTCATACATGAAAGGATCTCAAGGTCTAGTTTTGTCAGTAACTGAGCACTATATCTCATATGATTAGCAACACAAAAATTGTCATTAGCTGATACTATTATTTCAAGACTAGTGTAAATACCGATAATGACATTTTTAGAGGATTTCAGTGATTCAGCTATACTAACTTATTTATAGGGTAGACCTAAGTCCTTTCTTTCAAAATTATAATTATATTCCTTCTATCCTAACATTCTCTGGCAAAGGTACATGACAAATGTACATGTGACTATTCTATCAAAGAATGCAAGCATGTTTCATCACAATTTATGTATGTATTTCCAGTTGTTACTGGAAGAAAGTAACATCCTGAATAAAAGGTAAATAAAAGGTAAATAAAAGGTAAAAGATATAATAGTCTACAGCATTAAGAACTTAACTGTAGTCTGTATTTTCAAGACTGTAATATAGAATAGTGTTAGAAGACAAAAGATTATTCCTTCATATTATTGAGGAACAAATGTACGTGTTTCTGGGTATATAGAATCATTCCTTTTCTTAGCAAGTAAGACTTACTCTCTGCTAATTAAAAAGCCAATAAATTTATTCTCAGAAAGAGAACATGCACTGGAAAAATTTCAGAAAAAGATTCCGGATATTTCTTTTAAATGTTTACTGACAACTTCCAAGAAATGTTCATGTTCCTATTTATATAGGAGAGATAAAACTAGTAACTTTAACATAATAGCATTAACATATGCTCTTTACTAATTCAAAACTGTTTAATTATTGTTATACAGTTGCTTCCCCCCCCCAGCAAATCCACAGTCTCAAAATAAATAGCAAAAGGCTAAAATATAAAATTAAATAAAAAAATACATTTTCTTACATGCAATGGGTAATGAATAGCATGGTCAAACCCAAACAGCATGCATGAAGGCATTGGCATGGCAGAGGAGGCATTTGTGAAGTTCACATTCCATTCCAACACACAAAGGAACAGAGAAGAAAACAAATGGTAAAAAAAAGAATAACAAAAGCCATCACATCAAATCAAGGTCAATATTAATTTCAAATGATAACCTGGGCTAGCCATAGTTAAGGAGTCCCAAAGACAAAATAGTCAACTTAAACAGTCCATCAAAATTCAAGTATACATTAACTGTTTGTCCTTGTTCTTTTTAAGACTTACGTTATATGACAACATATTCTGTATAAGGTACTTATTAATGACTTTTAATAAATGAAGAAACTAAACATGTAGAGATACATTATGTGATGTGCTGAGGCACAAAGAAATCCATTAGAAATCAGAATTGAAAATTCCTAGCCCCGTACTTTAAATGGAAGACTATTTTCCCTGCTATGTCTTTTTCCCCCAAGAATGTGTTTTTACCAGTATTTGGGCTCCATAATTTTTTCTTCCAAGGTTGCCATTTAGTGGGGTTTATTCCAAGCCATGAAGAAACAAACCTACTGTTCAGTTTGCTCTTCTCTTTATCCAGTCATGCACGCAACATGACTAGAATAAGCGCAATACCACCACATTCACCAGCACAACTTAATAAAACAAAATAGAAGTAAATCACTAGCAATGAAGCATGCAAATAAAGGGAGTGCAATCCATTTTCAGCATGACAAATAAAGGCAAAGATCTATTACTTCAATGACAAATCAAGAAGGAAACAAAGAAAGAAAGAACTGGTGCAGCAACATTAAAAAAACGTTCATTAAAATGTCATTGTCGTGTGTTTTGTGAGGTCAGTATTCTCACAAATTCTATGGAAGGCCTTCTTTGTTGAGTTGCAGGAGCCTAGCTTCTACTCCTACCTGCAGTACTAATGAAGACACAGGCTGTTAGGCTTTTAAAATAAATGATGGCAAGAAGGCAGCCAAATCCTGGGCCCCAGAGGGAGACCCAGGAGCATCTGGAGTGGATGGAAGCCCAGCGCTTTTCCAGAGCTGCACCTCCCTGGGCAGCCAGCACAGCCAGGAAAACCCAGCAACAGCCACATCATACCACAGCACGCTGAGGAGCCAGGGGTGCTCAGAAAATTGAGATTTTTTATGTTCCAGTGCTGCTTTCTCCAGTGCACAAAAAAGAAAATACTAGCCCAGAGGCAGTCTGCTACGTGTGGTATAAACACAGCCACTCGGGACTCGGTGAAATCACTGACTTGAATTAGATCAGGATTTTACACCATGTTTTACCGGTTGTGTTATGCAAGCCACTGGTTTTGCTTTATATATTGCCATATGTGTAAGAAATTAATATGGTATACTGTACCTAATTTTGTTATTTTGCTAGTTACATAGTCAATCTATTCCTTTAATGATTTTTAAGTTTTCATTAAGTATTTTCTGCTCAGGGATTGCATTACATAAATGTTACTAATTTCCTTTTCCCTGATTGGGTTAATGGCAGTTACTCCTCTGGAGTTGGGTTTGTTAAATCGAGAAATGTGACGTAAATAGCAGATAAAACATATGCCCTACTCTGACTTCCCCAGAAAAAAACTAAACTGTTCATTGAAATCCTGTAATGTTATACAGCATTACAGCATACATTGTATAATAAAACTTGGCAATAAAGTTGTAAGAATGATCTTCTCTTGACTTTGGGTTTATGCAAGCAAAGCCAGCACAAGTAGTCTCTTTTTTTTTCCAGTCTTCAAATTCATTTCAAAATCTGAAGAATAATTTTTACAGCACGGCTCTAATTAGCACCTATTAGTAAAGCACCATAATTTAATGGAATGCCCTTCACTACAGCCAATAACATGTTTTCTATTATTTAAACAAGGAAGGATGCAAGCTTCATGCTTTGGAAGCTGTTTGTCAAAGTAAACAGTTCTCTAGTTAGATTTTTCCTAGTAAGCAGGGCAGAAGCTTTCTAATTGTATTTCCAGGTCTATGCATTCTAATGCACTAATCACCTCCATCCACAGTTACCTGTACATTGGGTCTCCTTTTTCTCAATTTAACTTTTGGTATGCCCACACCAATTTGCTGAAGTAACAAAAATGCAGTAATTTATATTTTTACACTATTAGTAAACAGCCTACTTATAGAATGGAAGTCTTCCCTCAACATCTATACTCTCCACTGCACGTTTACTGGAAGCAGATTAGCCCTCATTCCAATCAAGAGTTCTGAGCTCTCTGTCAGAATCACACATAGATTTTGTCTAAGGAAACAAAAACCAGATGTTAAATGGTGTGAATTAAGTTAACAGAGAGCTCTCCCTCCCACATTCTCTTCCAGAATTAAAATACAGGATGAGAAGAGTTTCACTTTTTGTTTACTGTTATATCTGCTCTTAAAACCATCTCCTCTTACATTTCTTTCAAAATCATAAACCATAAGACAAAACACTGGACCCTACTGAAGGCATCTAGAATTTTATAATTACCATTAAATGGGTAATCAGAACCATAAAGAAAGTGAAGAAAAGGATGATAATCTTTAGAACAGATTGAGAAATTGAATTATTTACTGTTTTCAAATCTTATCTAGTTAAGACTAATCTTGTTAACACATGCTTAATGCACTCACTTCAGTGACTATGTTTATTTTGTGGGATATCCACCTGTTCTCTCCCAGGACAATGGGAAAATTACACGCACATACGCACAGACACACAAAGAAAATTGGCAGAAAAACATAAAAATAAGTATTTGTTTAAGAGTGTAATATAACTGGCTACACAAACTTGAAAAATGGTATTTTAAGCAGTTTAAAACTATATTAAACTGAAAGTTAAAAAAAGGTTTCCTGTCTTACGCTTTGATGTAGTTTTCATGTGCAAATAAGAACATGATGGGAAAGTTCTTAATGATTTTAATATGTTTTTGAACCTGTCTTTTGTTAAATTTTCTCAGTTGTGCAAGTGACTTTACAAGTTCTAAATTTCTAGGGGTTTCTTTTTGTGAGATGATACTGCAAGACAATTTCTTAAAATATTGTGTTGAACCAGTTGTGATTTGAGGTAAAGATTTTCAGAAGGAAAGCAGAAGACATTCAGAAGAAGGGACCATTGGAAGTTTAATACACCCTCACCTCTTCAAAGGTAAAGACGTATTTATGTTTTAGTTTACATCGATTGAAAAATTGCTGGCAAAGAGGGTTAAGATGTTGTTTGTTAATAAGTTAACGACTACCAGGAGGTTCAACTAAAATTAATATGACATGTTAAAGAAAGTCCATGAGTTCTAAATACATCTGTCTTTGTAGTGTACCTTAGTTTTAAAACGTAGTTCTTGTATCAGTCTGAATAGCATGCACCACCCCAAACAAACTGGGAGTGAAAAAGTCTAGTCTGTGTAACTGTTAATAACAACAATAACAATAATAATAATGTATATGCTTAATATTACATTTAGACATTATTCTACAACATAAAACATGTAACTTATAAAATACCCTTTTTTAAACATACGCTAAATCAAACATTTGAGCAGCATGAGAAAGCATCTCTGGACTTCCATATCCTTTTAAGTAGAAAACTACACAGAGAAACCATGTAATTAGTATCCTAATGCATCCCAGTCTGCCTAGATTTAATTGGTATGAGGGGATTTTTTCACTCTCTAACGAAGGTTCTTTATTCTCCAGTGTTATGAGTTTACACTGCAGTATAACAGCACATATGAGATGAACAGAATCCATATTCATCAGTTCCTCATAAGATTGTGCCTAAAAGGAGAATACTGCATTGCTTCATTTCATGTTCCTTCTGTTAACAAAAAGATAGTTTCATTTACATATAAGAAAAAGGTAAATAGACCACTCGCCATCATCTGCATTTCTAGTAATCTCTAATGAAGAAAAGATTTGGTCAGTAATGATGTATATATTATTATCAGAATAATTCACCAAGCAAAATCATCAAATCAAAACGTTCATTTTTTAACACATAAAAACCTAATGCATATATCCAGAAACTGAAGTCCTTCTAAATTATGAAGACTATATAAAAACCTTCTTTTCCTTTTTTTCCCTTTAGTTTTAAAAGGGTCCTTTCAAAATAAATCAAAAGGGATATTTCATCAATAGTTAAGACCAAGTTATTCTTTCCCTTCTTCAGAAGCATTTTTTTTTTCTTCTTTTGTTACACACTTGGCAAAAGATTTCAAACATATTCATTACTTCATCAGGAAATTAATTCAAATATTCCCAATGCTGACTTCCCCCAGTTTAAGAATTAAATGAATCACTAAAATATGTAGATGAATTCTTCATTACTTTTTCTGTTTTGACAGTTAAAGACAGTGAAGTAGTGAAAAGGGGGTCTGCTATCCGTCTTGTAGCTGTGATAGGACTTTCTGGTGAAGAAACAAGAGAGGACAGTCACAGAGCCAAGAGGTCAAGGGCTTGCTGCTATTCTACCACAGGAACATGGCTGGGAGGAATAGAGTGATGGATATGCATCCAATTTACAAAAAAACAGTATTTCCATGCCTAAAGGCAGCAAATACAAGCTTCCATTACTTAAGAAGTTTCTCTAAAGTGAACTAAGTGCTGAAAAATAACTTAGGAATAGGGTGCCACTGCAGTTTAAAAGCCTTACTAGCCTTATTTGTCTGCGTATTGACAGCTTGCATTTATCTGGGCCATATATTTCTCAAACCATCTTAATGAGAAATTTTAATACTGACAACTGAACTACATGGATATATTGTTTGGTCTTCAATACTTATAGTGATTCATTATTACTTCTAACTTTTTATCTGCAAATAATCCATACATTTCTCTCAATCTGGAGTGATGTTTTTTATTTTTAGTTAATTAAATTTTAACTTTGTCTTTTATATAGTGCTGCATTTGTGCACTATGAACTCATGAGAGAAAATTTGCTGAAAGTATATTTCTAATGTAATTTAAATACAAATATTTTCAAATATTCCATTAAACAGAAGATTGACATGAAGAAACCCTTCACTAAAACAAAGATTAAAGTTCTGATTTCAGAAAAAAAAATCATCCATTCATGTTGAAATGTCTCATCAAAGTCGGGGAGGCAACTTATTTAAGAAGATACATGTAACGTAGGAGTCTCCACAGGGTCAGGACTACAGTTAATGGATATAAAACCAGACTGAAATATTGGGTTTAAATTTTCCTGAAATTTGAGGAAAGTTGCATCCTAATCAGATTTAGATAAAGATTTCATCTTTAAAGATGAAAAATCTTTCTCAAGTTGAACTACTAAAA